CCGAAACCGCACCGAGAAGATATATTGACATCGTCTGCCCATCGCTGGTACACCTTTCCCCCATTTCGATCCCGAGCTCGATCTGGCCATGCCTGATTGAATTTATGGCCCATCCAAAGGGACTGCGGATCGAGGCCCTTGGGCGGCTCTGGGCTCTGGGCTCTGGGCCGGGCCTGGGCAATTGTTTACACAAAACTTTCACAAATTAACCCAACCTGTGAACTGAAAAACTCAAAACCGAATGCCCGAAAACGCATCGACTCGATTAAAATGCTGCAAACTTAATTGGGGCCCAGTTTGTCGCACATTCTGGGTGGCCCAGGCACAGGCACAGTGGTTGCAATTAAACGAAACCGGGTGAACGGTGATGGAATTTCGGAATTACTTATTTTTGAGGCCTATTAAATAAAGCTCAATGTCACAGGTAATTGCAGCTGTAGATGAGCTTATAAAGTCGTTGGCTTTATGTTTAAAGTATTCATTTATTTGACAATTGTTTTAATTTTATGCATAATTTTATATGTTATTTCTTGGAAAAATTAAATCTTAAAAATATCATAACAAAGCCAAAAAAGCATTAAAATCAGTTCTGAAAGTTTTTCTGTGCTAGTTTCTTCTAGTTTAACAAATCTACATCTCAAATTAAAAATTTTAGGAGATCAAAATTGTTGTGAATTTTTGTAAATTTTAATGATGTAACCCCTTATAAAATTTTGAAAAAATGGAAAAATATTATTTTCCTCCGGACATGCCTAGAAAGACTCGCCTGTAGATGCTGATCAATAATATATATGATTTATAGGGTGGAAAATGACTCCTTCATTCATTTAAAACTTCTGACTTGTTTATAATAATATCCTGCAAGGATATAACAAGGACATAGTGTGTCCAGTTATTTTGTTATATTCCTAACTCAACACAAGGCAATTCTAACTTGGTATTGGTTTGCCTGACTGCTACAGAGTTAAACACAAAATTGACTTCAATAAAAATATATTAAATATATATAAAAATATATATATATTTTTAAAACAATCTTATACCGGATATTTTTAATTTGTACAAAATATCCTTTAATAGCCACTGTGCATCCGTGTTTATTTGTGGGCTTCCTGGACGCGGTTTCCGCCTTCCCCTCCGGCAGCAGCTGCTCGGTCAAGAGCAAGTGGCAATTTAAAGAATTGGATCGGGTGAGGAGGAGGAGGAGGAGGCCTGATGTTGGCGCCCCCATATGCGCATGATAATTTCGATCGCTCCAGCTCCTTGACCAGTCCCAGCTCCAGATGTAGCGAAGAAAGTTGCCGGCTCCTCGGCATCCTCGGCATCGTTTCATGTGGGGCTGTAGTTGTTTTTGTGCCGTGTGCAAGTACACGCGTTGTAAGTGAAATGAAAAGTGCATAAATCTGGCGAGCTGGCAGCGCAGTTCGATAAGAATCGAAAAGCGCCCAGACAAAAGAACTTTCGCTTTCGTTGCGGGTTTCGGGTCTGGCTCTGGCTCTGGCCAAGTAAAAGTGGCCCCAGCCCCTGCATTATTTAACCAAATTTGGCTATTGAATGCAACCGGTCGATGGCTGTGACCGAGTCTGCCACTGAGCCTGTGTCCGCGACGATATAACAATTATGTGCGTTTAATGAGCAGCGGGAGCAGATCGATCTTGGGAGGAGTTGCCGATCATGCCGTTGACTGACGGAGGAGATTGATTGCATAAGCCCCTCGCCTGCAACATTGTCACCCGCTCCCCGTCGAGTCTCCGGTCACTTTCACCGCCTTTCCACTGCCCCCCCACACCAGAATCGCTTAGAAGAGTCAGCGATTTTCGCCTGTTGTCGCAGTTGGAGCAGTGATAGTAAAAGTGATAGTCGTTTCCAATTGGAGATTATTATGGCTTAAGTATTTTACGACTTATATAACCACACACGCACACTCGCCGCCTCAATCGCCGCCGTGGAGACGTCAAAGCAATTAAGCTACCCAAACAGACACGGCCGGCGATACAAATGCAGGCACTTTTCTAATTAATTTTGGACCGGAGTCTCCGACGTTGGGGGAGGGGGTGGGGGGACAAAAATCTCAATAAAATTTCATTTTCATTGACAGCCGCTTTTCAACTGCAGCTCCAATGCAACGTCCCAGGCTTGGGACTCCGCCTCGCATGATGAAGTGTGGAAACGGCAACAACAAGAGCCACCACCACTCGGTACACTTAATTGACAAGTGTGAAACTTTCGATTTCTATACACCCATTGACATACAAAACGAGACAGCCGGAGAGACACTACAAAAAAAATAGGATTACTTCCAAAAAGATGCTAATAAATGAGCTGAATTCCATAGGGAATCTTTTATGTATGATGTCTAGCCTAATTGTAATTATTTAAAAAATATATCTGCGAGGTGTATCCTTGTAAATAATCAAATTTATAATACCATTATTATTTAGCTTATGAAACTTATTTATTTAAAAATATTTAGTTACAAGAATCTACTCCTAAAAATTGTTTTCCGTGCAGCCTAATGATGCCGCCTGCTATGATTTGTTGTGTCTAAATGTCACAATTCTCCCAAATGATGGGCGGACTACGGGAGGAGCTGGGTGCGCCTGCCTGCCTGCCCAGATTGGAGTGGAGTACTCCAAACTCCATACCCCAATACTTCATACTCCTTACTCCAAACACCACTGCTATCGCTATCGGGAGCTGATGGCTTTGGCGATAATTGCCGATATCTGGCGACTGGTCGGGTGCGTCTCGCGTGCTGACTTGACAAAAAGGCTGCTCAATGCCATCAAATGATTAACTAACGGCCCGAACTCGAAACTCAAAAACTCGAAACGTGCGAAGTGGGTGAAATTTTCTTAGCGTGTTCGAGTGCCGGCCGGTGCGATTTTATACTACAAAAATTATGTTTCAATTAAGTCAGAGAAAATGAAAGTTGCTGCAGAGCACTGTAATGGCTTAATTGCCGCCACCGAATTGCGGGTAATCCAGGAGATCATAACGAGAGATCTTAATACCTTTTGCTTCAAATTTAACAGTCAAATGACATCATTTATACATTGAGAGTAGGCAGAGTTTCTTTAACTTTAAAATATACAAGACAAAAATGAGATTTTTGAAGAATTATATTCAACAGTGAGTAGCCTTCTGTGACTTGTTAGTTCAACAATTAAATTAAAAACACATTTATTCTCTCTGGATTTTTAAATTTTCTCAGAAAACAAATTTTAAATCTATTTTAAATTCTCACAAGTACTGAAAGCCGATTAACTACAGTTTCTACTTATAGAATTCCGCCAGTGATTCTCAAAGGAACCATCTTCCCAGAACTGACAACCCGTCATTTCGTATTTCATCATACTCCAAGAGGCTATAATTAAAAATCAATTTGGCCAAAAGTTCCTAATATGCAAGAGCCGCCGCAACAGGCTCCTAATAACCACGTTCGTTGCCTGAGTCTTTTGTTTGGCGTTTTGTCAAAGGTGCAGGCAGCGAGGGAGCAGCTCCTCCTCCATGTGCCGCCATCTCCAGATCCAGACATCAACGTGAGCCGCACATATCGAGCATAATATCGCGAGTCGCGGCGATGTGGCACGGCATGGTCTATTGGAGCCCGGGTTCATGCTATGTCAAGCATGATCTCGCTGTTTGAGGCCTGCGCCTCAGAAGAAACCCATTAATGAGCGCACAAACTGGCATTTGACAGATTTTTTAATTAAACCATACAAATTGCGATTCTTCACGCTTTTCGCCACACGAAACTGGCGGATATTATTGCTGGCCCACTTAGCCGGCGACATGAAGCCTCCTCTTCCTCCTCCTCCTCCTCCTCTAGCTCCATCTCCTTCAGTCCTGCTCCCAACCGAGGCGGCATTCCATTTGGTCAACGATAAGCGCGTAATCTCAGCCAGCGCCAGCCAGAGTGAAATGCCAATGTTATCGCTTATCTGGCAGCCGGCAGGCGGCAGCTCGCGCGTAAATTCGAGCTGAGCCACACACAGGGAAAGAAAGAAATTTGCATAGGCGCTGAGCTAATGAATTTCTGCTGCCTGCTTACATAATTATCGGCAGCACCATTATGGACAGCCTGGACCAGCACCGGGACTGGGACTGCGACATGGATCTGCATCCAAATGCAGTGCTCCTTTCACTTTTGTGCGAGAGCCTGCCTAATTATTCCTGGCCATTGTGTCCCCTGTGATTTCGCACATAATTAAGCTGCTGTGCAAAATTTACATTAAATTAATAGTTTTATTGTTTTGTCTCCGCCTGCAGTTGAGTTAGAGCCGCCAGCTTGAGCTGGAGTCATGCGGAAGCGGCGCCCTACCAAAAATGGGCAGTCGAAAACCTGACACAAAAAATCCAGGGAAGATATACTATACATATGTATGTACATATACCTGTAGCCATTGCCACCAGTAGACAATGATAAAGCACCGAAAAATGATTGCGGAATTTATGCAAAACCGTGGGCAAACATAATGTCTAGACTGAGCTTCATTTCACTTTCATGACCCATGCTGTGATAGATGTATTGTTTCTGAAATCATATTCTTTCTTCTTTTGATTAACCCATGGTTAGGTTTTGTGACTTAAAAGGTAACTTATGTTTGAACTGAAATTACATAAAAATAAACAAACAACAATATTTTCTAATATTTAAGAATTTATTTACCTAGAATGTAACACTAGAATAAGAACCAGAAATAAAACTAGAATAACTCTATGTAAGTGAATAAATTTAATAAAATTATAATAATGATAAATATTCAAAATATAAATATGATATTTATATACTCATCGCTTTGGGTTAAAATTGGCATCTCCCTAACTTGACCTCTTTTGTGTCAATAAAAGAAATGTCAATGCCAAATACAGGTTTTAGTCAACGCGTGAAACCCATTAAAGAACGCCTAAATCTGTTGCCAAGAGGTCGAAAGGTGGCTAGCTCAGGGCGTCTGGATTCAGTCAACTCGCGATCGTGTTCTTAAACGGTTCTTAGCATGAACTTCGGATTAATAGGACTCGCCGTATCTGTCGGGCTGCTGATCCTGGTGGCTAATATCGGAGCACAACAGCAGAGTCTTTCGTGGGGAGGATACTACCTAGACAATGGCACCCACTATCTGCTATACGAGGGACCTAGGCCCAGACCAAAGCCGGCGCCGCTGCACTTACAACGCCATCCCAATTTTAAAAATATATCCACAAATCCATTCATCAACTCAGTGAGCACGCTCAATGAATTCCCCAACAGGATTGTTGGCGGTCACAGGGTGAATGTGTGCAAAGACTGTCCTTTTCTGTGCTCCGTCCACTACGAGGGATACTTTGTATGCGGATGCACGCTCGTATCTAGAAAGTGGTGCCTCACAGCCCACCACTGCAAATTTGGAAAGGTCGGACTGTACTCGGTGCGGTGCGGAACGACTCAACAGAAGCGTTTCGGGCAGCTCCGCAAGATACGGCTAATCGTGGCCAATGCAGGATATAACCCCAATACTATGACTCATGATCTAGCCATGTTGAAGTTTAAGAAGCCCATGAAGTATACAAAGTGTGTGCAGAAGGTATTGTTGCCCGCGCCCTCGTCCAAGCCATTACCCAATGTCCTTGATATCTGGGGTTGGGGCCTCACCTCGGCTAACGCCGTGAATGTCCAGCGATATGCCCTTGGAGCACGAGTTAAGCGCGTGGATCCCAAGGAATGTAGAAAAGACTACGCAAGCGCTGGTGTGAAAATAACGCCTGACATGGTATGCGCCAGAGCATCAGGCAAGGATACCTGCTCCGGCGACTCCGGCGGTCCAATGACTCATAATGGTGTGCTAGTCGGAACCACCTCCTTCGGCATCGGTTGTGCCCGTCCCAATTATCCGGGTGTTTATGCCAAAACTAGATCCCATATCGAATGGATCCTTAACGTAATGCGTAAATTTTAGTCAATAAACCGATGAAAAATGAACCAAAATGAGTTGAGTTGAGTAATGAGTTGGGCTTGGGTTATTTCAAGTTCGACTTCCCGAAGAGCTTCTTTAGTATCTAAGAGATATGTAAGATCGGAATAAGGCTCAACTAATCTGTGAATAAGGAGTATTTTGGTGTCACCCGACAAAGATTAGAAATAATTAGCAGTCTCTCTTTTGACAAGATGTATTACTATTTGTAGTTATACTAATAAGAACTAAATACAACACCTTTAAAATAATGTTAAAAAGCGTTTTTTTTTTAAACCTAGAATAGCACATTAAAAATCTATTAATTACAAGTACAATAAACTAAATTAATTAAGTGATTAAGTAAGCCCCAGAAAGCGATTAGCGAATTCTTTGTTTGAATTTTTTGACAGCATATCAAATCCGATTGCTGCGGGCTAAGATTTGGCTAATTGACTTAGCCTACTTCAAGAAAGTCAAAGATAAATGGCTATAGAAAAAAAGAGGTGAAAAAAACTAAAAGAATTTTGCGGTAAAAGGCTGAAAGTTAAGTCTTTGTTCTACCAGATTTCAGTAGGGAAGACATCGCGAACCTAATCGGTTGGAGAAATGAATTTAAGGCTCCTGCCGACTGTTTCGGCAATCGCTATATTTGCCTATCTTTGGAGCCTGGTAGCAGATGCTGAGCCACAGGGTTCGGCCTGGAACGGTCACTACCTGGACAATGGCACCCATTATTTGCTGTACGAGGCGCCAAAGATCCGCAGACAGGACTATCTGGCACTGGCGAATATATCCAGCAATCCTGCTATAAATGCCCTGGAGTCCCTGGATTACCTGCCGACTCGCATCGTGAACGGCAAGAGAATCAGGTGCACGAGGGCTCGCTACCAGTGTGCCCTCCACTACCAAGGTTCCTTCATCTGCGGATGCGTTATCCTGTCGCATCGCTGGATTCTTACGGCCCATCATTGCATTATTGGTAGCCCCGAGGACTACTCTGTCAGAGCAGGATCGGTGCAACAGCGGCGAGGGGGACAGCTGCGTCGTGTCCAGAAGATCGTGGCCCACGGAGGATACAATGACTTCACCATGAACAACGACATTGCGATGATGAAGCTCAAAAAGCCACTCAAGTTCAACCGGTGTTGTCGAAGGGTAAGGTTGCCTCGCAGAAGGAGGAGGAGGCGTCTGCCGCGATGCTGCCTGGCCAGTGGTTGGGGATTGGCATCAGAAAACGCCCAGAACGTGCAGCGGTATCTGCGCGGTGTAATAGTCTGCAAGGTAAGGCGCCGCAGGTGTGTAAGATCTTACCGAAAAGCTGGAATCAAGATCACCAAACATATGATCTGCTACGCACGAAAGAATCGCGACACCTGCTCCGGCGACTCGGGCGGCCCTCTGGTCCACAAAAATATCCTAATTGGAATCACGTCCTTTGGAATCGGATGCGCTAGGAAAAGGTATTCAGGGGTTTACACCGATGCTGGGGATTACGTCAAATGGATTAAAATGGTCATGAGAAAACATTAAATTATAAAATAGGTATTTTAAAATATTTTTAAATATTATAAGGTACGTTGAGTATCCTTACAATGATAGAAGTCAGGTCAACGTTTCTGTGAATCAGTTTGTAATAAATCTAAGTTAAAACAATTCATCTTCCTTAATAAATGGCAAATCAATTTTCAGTTTGTATTGATTTATTGATGGATCAAACACACACCTTAAAAATGATAGGAATAACAACTATTTTGCGGATCTGCAAGTTCATTCAACTTTTTCGCATATTATTAATTCACACTGAAAGTTAATATAAATGAAAAATGTTTGGAATGATTAAAGCCAAGAAAGTTAATACATAATGTGTGTGGGCCCTTTTGGAAAACCAAGCCAAGAGATCTTTATATATAATGCACAATTTTAGAACAAGTTCCAGTGGAAGGAACGTTCTCATCCATATTGGCATGTCATTATGGGACTCATCAATATGCAGGCCAGATTCAGTAGGTCGTATGGCAAAGCAGGGGGTCATTAGCATTCTTGATTCTATTTCATATTTTCGCTGGCCTCTGGGGTCGACTTTCAGTTAACAGCCGAGGTTAGGTCACTGCGGTGGCTTTGTTTTTTTCGGATGATGAAACTCTCGGCGCTACTTTTATTGCTCATTTGTGGCCATAAAATACGGGCTAAATCACCACAGGAGCGGATCGTAGGTGGCGTGGAGTTGCCCATTGATGTGTCACCCTGGTTGGCTTCTATTAGTGTGCATGGAAACTACAGTTGCAGCTCGGCCTTGATTACCTCCCAGTGGCTGCTGACGGCCGGGCATTGTGTCCACTATCCGGATAGATACACAGTTCGGGCAGGATCTGTGTCCCCCGAAGAAGGAGGCGATATTAGAGAGGTGGAAAGAATTATCCTGCATCCGGGTTTCAAGCTGCGAACCCTGGACAACGACATTGCTTTACTGAAGACCAAGGAACCCTTTCAGTTGGGTGACAATGTGCAACTGGTAAAACTTCCCCTGCCGGGACTTGGTATCCTTCCAAGAACACTCCTGGCCGCTGGCTGGGGCACCGTAAATGTCAACGCCAGCGACACAGAACCAAGGCTACGTGGCACTTTCGTGAATGTCATAGACCAGAGGCGATGCCAGCGGCTCTACTCTCGCCTAGGTCGTCCCATCAGGGCCAATATGCTGTGTGCGGCGGCCGCTGGTCGGGATCACTGCTACGGAGACTCGGGTGCTCCTCTAGTACATCACGGCAGTAGCTATGGAATTGTTTCCTTTGCCCACGGCTGTGCTGATCCCCGTTTTCCAGGAGTCTACACCAGGCTGGCCAACTATGTGACCTGGATCTTCAATGTCCTAAGAAGTTAGGGATGCAGAATGTAATGAAAATACAAAAAGTATACGATTATACATAAGTTAAATAACAATATTCACAATGAAAATAAAGACGATTCACTAGGAAGACTGCTTTGCTTGCTCCTGGAATACTCTGAGGATTATACAATCCTCTAGCATTTCCCAGCCATCTGAGGAGCCGCACTCGCTTCGTGCCCAAGCCAGGCGATAAACCCATACCGCCAGTCGACGGCAAATTTGTGTAAATTATGTATTTGTGCATTTTGATTTCATTTAAACGAAGTTTCCTGATGGCCCCCAGCGCATGTCAAATATCAAAACCGAAACCAGCCAGCCAGCTAGGCAGCTAGCCAGGCACTTGCGCAACACATCCCGCAATCCATATCCATACGTCCGTCCATATCCACATTCGCAAGCCCATCTCGAATCCGCATCCATCCCAGCTGGCTGGCTGGCTAAAATATCACTGCCATATGCGGTGGGCGTGCTCCGTTAATGCTGCACTCTGGCGGCCCCTGAAATTAACATAATCGTGCTGCCGTTGCTGTGGGGATCGGGATCGGGATTGGAACTGGAAGACTGCGACTGGGATTGCCTGTGTTCGTTGTCGGATGCTGCCTGTTGGCGCCCCAACAAAGTGTTGAACGCTGGCGCTGGCTGTCAAGTGGAGGCCTCGGGCCATTGGCACACTCATGAGTTTAGGCTGGAGTCGGTCGCCACCCGCTTAGCACTTTGTAGTGGAAGTTGTGCAATGGGAGCATCAAAAGTGGTCTGACTACTACATGAACTTTCTACACACAGGATATTCTAGCCATGTCGTGAAGAAACCAATTTCATTTATCTTTGTTTTACGTGTATGTATATTTTGTTATCATTAAGTTACGCTTATACAATTCATTACGTATTCTAACCTAAATGTATACCATTACTTTGTTTGCTCTGTTTTCGTTTTCGTTTTGCTCTTGCCATATTGTTCTTTGTATATAATGTGTTCAAAGGTTCTTGTTGTAAATTTGAAACTAGTCGCTAAGGTAAAAGTGTGTCAACAGCAAACTCGTGTATGCATTGTGTCTTGAAGGTGGACCAAAAGCGAATGCAAACTCGAAAAAATCCTCAAAATGTGTGTTTAAAAATCGATTTAGCCAAAAACCTTTAATTGTTATAATTTTTTGTTTTGGTTTCTTGCACACGCACATGCACAATAAATTTCACAATATAAGAACGTAAAAAAAATTACAATTACAAGCACACATCAATCTGTTTTCAACACGTTTCTCTTTACCAATTATGCAATCTTTAAAGCTATATAACAATTTTTAGTTTTCATTTTCGCATCTCTCGTTTGGACTCGATTTTTCGGATTTCGCTGCCGTTTTTTGGTAATCGCCTCAACAAGGATACAACTCAAACAACAGCAGGGGATCTCAACTAAGGGTCGGGAATCAATGGTCCCCAAGACCGCCACTCAACTTGAAGGGTTTAAAGTGTGGCAATTAAAATGTAAATCGTATGGTGGTTAATTTCAGAGTCAGTTGAGTGGCGCTTTGGGGACTGGGTTACATGGATTAGTTATTGCAAGTTATGTCTGAATTGCAAGCTTTCTTCTACTTCGCTCATCTTGCCTCTCTCTCTCACGTACATCACATATTTTACAGTTTAATAATACTTCCTTACACATAATTTATTAATTAATTCATATTTTCTCTCTGCTAAAATTGGTTGCTGCTCCACACTCCGGCCAGACCTTGGATTAGTTGACGATCCCTTTGTTGCTCCTGCTCGCATTGCGGTTCATTGATCGGCTCTCAAATTACGACAAAAACGGGTTTGTAGCTCCTTCCGGCTTGATCCACGGCATGTTGTTGTTTTGCTGTAAAATGTTTAAGATTTCCCATTAGACATTTCTTTGTTTTTGTCGTATTTAATTCTAATTGTTTTGGCTAAAAGCAAACTACATGCAGAGTCAAACGGCCGTGTTTAAGTGTTATACGAGCCAACTACAGCGGGTACAGTGGTAGAGGGTTTAAGTAGTTGTTAGAAGGTAAGACTACTAAGAAGTTAGTTAGCAGAGCATGCACATTCGAAAGACATTTTACCCATTATTCGCATTTATTGCATATTGTATGTGTTTTATTTAAGCGTCCAAGCCTCCATGGTTGGCTACAATTAGAAAATGTTATGAATCAACGGGTTTTTTAGCAAAGCTGCCTTCTGCTCAAGATGCGTACGTGGTTTTCGAAGGAGCAGCGAGGGCAGCTATGCGAGCACAGCTTCCTACGCTTCGTAGTTCTCATACTTGCTAGTCAAACGAAAAGGAAACTAATTCAACGGAAAGAAACTCAAAACTAAAGATAAAAACGCAAGCGAAACGATAAACGATAAACGACAAATTCTGGCAGAGGAAGTAGTTTTGGGGACAACAACTTTAACGGCGACGACGGCACACTCACTTCCAGCTTGCAGTGGGCGGAGGAGGAGGGACCATAACTGCAGACAGGAGCGTCCACAAACCCAATGGGGGCCACACTAACACCCGGAGTTTCAGCCAGGGATTCGGACAGGGCGCTGCTGTAGCTGGCAGCATAGCTTGAGTATATACCCGGAGTTCCGTAATTGTTGTTGTTGTTGTTATACATATTGTAGGCATCGTCAGCTGGCGCCGTTGGGCTATTGAAATAGGGTCTCTCGCTGAATATGTCCATGTTGCGGATGCCATCGATGCCGGGACTCGGACTCACATGGCTGTACATGGTGCTGGTGCTGCTGGAGCTAGTGATGTGGCCGTTGTATGGATAGTTGTACACCTGCGAACTGGGCTGTGGCTGTGGCTGGGGGATGATGGTTGCGGAGGGAGGAATGATGGGATTACTAAACGCACTCAGCAGCTGAAATTCCCCCGCGGAAGAGGGCCCCAAGTTGAGGCTGGTGGGACGCACGGGGGGCGGAAGTTTTGGCTGGGATTTTAGGGTTTTCACATGCAAACAGTTGCTCAAGAAACGAAATGACGTAAAGGAAATCAAAATGCATAAGTAAAATGATAAGATAAGTGTTGTGGAAAAGTAAACGGAAATGCCAATAAATCAGACTGTAAAAAACCTCAAAAGAGTAAGTACAAGTACGAAGAATTCCTAGCACCTCAGACGTACTCCATTTCCAAGTTAATCTGTCACCTTTTTGCGTAGGCAAACTCACCTGGGAAGGAGCACTGACGCCACCCATAACAGGTGCCCAGGGATCCTGGTTCATGCTGACGGCGAAGGGAGCCTGCTGTTTCAGCTGGTTGATGGACGGCACCTGTAGGAAAATTATAGAATGTTTTTATGAATGAATATTTAAATCCGATGAGATGACTCACGGCTGGCTGCTGCTGCTGGAATAGATTCGTCTTGGGCGGCATCACGTTGTCGCTGAAGGGATTGTAGGCAGGCGCATTTCCCGTTTGTGTCTGTGGCGCTATGGGCTTGATCAGATTGTCCAGGTTAACCAGTGCCGAGTTTTCGCCAAGGAACGAGTGCGGATCCTTCAGCGGCTTCTTAGCAGTGGCCCCCGTCGAAGGATGCATACTGCTTCCGTTTCCGTAGTTTGACGATAGCGGATCCATGTCATCGAGCAGAGAAGCTGAAAGCAAGTAGTTTTATTGATAAGTTTGAGAATTTTTAGAGCTGTTTATAGTTATTGTCTTACCATTGTTGTTGTTGGAGGCATTGGAATTGCTCAGCTCGCTCTTGTTACGGTTGGTAATCAAATCGAACTCATCAAACTCCGGGGATGGTTTCTGGAATAAAAAATATATGAAATATGAATTACTTGTAGCTTTAAAGGTAACGTTTTCTTTAGAACCTAAAATCATTTTAAGACAAGAAAGAAAGCTAACTTCGGCAAGCCAACGTGTGTATTCCCTCGCAGGTTTGAATTAGATCATCTATCTTTCTATCTATCATAACTAAGCTAAAAATGCTTTATTTTACACGAATACACGAACTATCTTTCCAAAATTCGATTAGATTATTTAATTATCTGAATTTTAGCAGTTCCCAAGATAATGCAATTAAATAATTAAAGGAATCACTGGCACCTAACACGCTTAGCTAAGCAATCGTCCCAGAATATACTCACCTTAATGGCTCCCGTTCCTAGTGCTTTCCAGGGATCATCCAGTGCTCCCGCTCCTGACTGTGGAGCAGCTCCACCCGCCCAGGGATCTGCTGAACCGGTTCCACCAGCTCCTCCGCCTCCACCAGCCGCAGCGGATGGCTCCGCCAGCCAGGGATCCGCTGGAGAGCCGCCATTGTTTGCCGCATGATGATTTACTGGTGCAGCCGCCAAAGCTGCTCCGGCTGTTGATTTCGTTATCCAGGCGTCCACTGGAGCGCCCGCTGGAGTGGCTCCGCGTCCATTCTGATTGGCATTGCCGTTGGTCTGCAGCCAGCCCTCGTTGGAGGAGCCCGATGCCACTGATGGCGACTGGTTGCGTGCTCCCCAAGCATCGCCAGGTGCTCCTCCTGGTGGCGCTGAACTCATCGGCACTCCGGCGCCCATGATAGTACGTGGAGCGGCGTTAGGATGCCAGGGATCCACCTGGGGCGAGGAGGTTCCCGACCAGGGATCCGACAACTGACTGGGTGCTCGTGGACCGGGTGTGGCCCAGGGATCGACAATGGCTGCAGGGGCGCCGCCTGCAGCGCCCAGCGGTGGACTCGAGATGCTGGTGGCGCCCAAAGAGATGTCCAGCAAATCCAGCAAATGGCTCTGGGGCTCCTCCTTCTTGGGCGCGGCAATCGGCCGTCCATTGTGATCCCTCACGCTAACAGAATACATTAGAAAAGAATCCTGAATTTAAATACCTCAAAAACTCACTTAAAGTCCTGCTCGCTCTGGCTAAGGGCCAGCTGGAGACGCACATCGTCGCTGCGTCGCTTGGCCTCCTCCTGCTCGGCTTCCTCGCGCGACATGGCCATGGCCAGCTGAAGCTGCAGCTCCTCCTCACCGGCCGTCTGCGGGCGAACCATCTCCAGCTCAGAGACAGACTTGGGCGGCTCCTCCTGCCAACCTGGGGGCAGATCCCGCTGCGAAGGTCCGTCTATGTAGCCATCACTGCCGAAACCGCTCGGATGCTGGGCGAATCGCTCCTTGGCCTTCAGCGCCTTGACTCGCTCGTTCTTGAGCCGTTCGTCATCCTTGAGCAAGTTGACCAGCTGCTTGGCCTTCTCCCGGACATGGGTACCCTGGTCCTTGCCCTCCTCGAAGTAAACAAACTCGCGCAGCGTCTGAATGGCAAAGATGTTCTCCTTGCACTGCTGGGCCACCTTTTCCGTACCGGTCTTGATCAGATACTCGAGCAGGATGAGTGCCTTATAGACGTGGCGCCAGTTCTTGCCGTGGTCGTTGAGACGCTTCCAGATCATCTGCATGATCTCGGAGAAGGCCACCACGTTGTAGGTGAGATCCGCTATCTCGCCCATAATGGCGGCCGACGGACCCCAAGGGTCGTTGGAGGTGGCCTCGCGCACTTTGACCTGGTGGGAGTAAAGAGTTTAGTGAGGGGATCGAATTGGATAGTTGGAATACCAAGGAGATCACTTACCTGAGCATCGGAGTAGTTGTGCGCAAGGTTCTTGATATTCCGGCGTAGACCCGCGACATTGACCTGCATATCGTCCTTTTGCTTTCTCACTGTGTGACGAGAAGGATGGAGGGGAGTGTTAGCATGGCTATACCGTCTCGATCAAACCCTTCGGGGGTCTCGAGGTGGATTGTGGGAGAGGGAGAGGATGGGGTTATTCGTTCTCGAAAAGACTTTCGTCTCTGTGAAAGTTCCGCTTGATGTGAATGGAAATTGAAGTTGAATTTTGGATTTTTAACTTATTTTGACGGTATCTCTGAAGTTTTCGAATTGAATTTCGAGTCTAATGTGTTGAATGTGAGTGTCGGACTACAAAATCTGAACAAAAACGAAAACACAAACGGTGTGGAACGGTGTTTCGTGGTCTGTGGTGAGTAATGTTTGTATGCTGCTGCTCTGTGCTGCTGCTTCGGTGTTGTGAGAATCGTGTCAAAGTTGAACTCAAAATCAAATAGGATCGGTTTAATATACACATCTGATGGATAATACCATTTCTATTTTATTTTATTCATTTATTTGCGGTGTAGTTGGAAGAGAACTTGTTGTTAAATGATATGTATTAACATTGAGACTTACTTTTCGTTTGTTTTTGCGTTTGACTTTGCTTTTTATTTTCTATACAAGAGACTTTTGCTTGCAAAAGCTTGAGATTCTTTTTCTCTTATTGTATTTTTTCGTTTTTTGTTTTTGTTTATTGCTGTTTAAGTGCTCCAAAGCAAGCTAAGTATGAGATACAAGATAAATACAATCAAAATACATAGTATAAGAGTACAGATACGGATATACATATTTATTTATATAGTTCAGATGTCGGTTGTTAATGTTATCGACGTTGCAGTGGTGCAAAACACACAGTTCCATAGATACTATACATAATAATTGCCGAACTCAAACTCAAGTGCACCGAACAAAAAGAGTGAAAGCATACGTTCAAATAGATACCCAATCGAAATAGAAATAAAATCCGAGGAATTTTTTTAACGCCGGCCGAAGGTTTGCCCGTGCACTGCCCCAAAAGGCGGGTAAGGAACCAGATCTCGCAATAGCGGACCCACCAAGTCCAGGGCCCTCCAACGCCTAGGGGAAATAATTCAATTTGCGGGCAAACAAAATGCAAACAGAAATGAATAACAACACGGAGCAAAAATAAAACGAAACATAGCAGAGAGTATTTCCCTTGAATTTCGAAAGCCGACTGTGCGATACTCTGCCCAGTAAGATCTTAATTGTGCAACAGTTCAGATACCATATAATTAACAAAGTATTAAAATGTTATCACATCCACAAATTATATTTAAATTAAATCAAAATTAATTTGTTCTGAATATTTCATTCGATAAAAGTTAAATGAGCATGATAATTTAATATTACATTGGAAATTATGTGGTCAAAAATATTTTTAAAAATATATGTTCATTAAAATTTGCAATGCAAACTTTGCATGTATAAATAAATAAAATTCATTTAAAAAATAAATATTCTTCTTAAAGCATAAAAAGATTATACACATATGTACATATGTAAATTAATTCTTCTCGGATTAAGGTATCTTCAATGACTTGTTTATTGGTTTCTTGAACCCCTAAGCATTACTTAAAGTTCCCTGACAACAGTTCCCACTTAGTGGATAGGCCCTCACTGCATCCAATGCCTTTGCTTGAACTTAACCCATGACAGACCGAAGCCGCAAAAATGTAAAATAACCGAAGAGGAGGAAACCAAAGGGAGGCCCTGGACAGACAGTCGTCTACGTCTATGTCTGGATATGCAAATTTTCAGCGTAAGCTGCATTATGCATTAAAAGCCGAACAGGGAACAACCATAGCGAGAAATTATAGCAAATGAATTGATTTTTCCTTTCTTTTCTTTGTCGAGGTGCGCTCATCTATTTTTAAATGAAAAAAGTGCACACAAGATAATCAAATTGTTATCGATTGGCTGGCAAAGTGGCAAAAGTTCCTTAAGAAGAATTTCAAATAAGGGGTTATTCGGCCATACAAATTTCGAGAATATATAGAAGCCAGATGAAAGCTGATTACCGATAAGATAGCGACGTGCATATATGTACATAATATTTATAAATTTTTATGTTTATAAAAAGACTGCAAGTCGAAGACGGCTTTTTATTGCAATGCGTATCTTAAATTTCAATTGTAATTTTGTTGTATTATTTTTATACAATAAAATGAATAAAATTATCATTCATTCATTAAGAGATATTGCACAATAAAGCGATATATTTTTATCAAATGTCAGTGAATAATAAAAACATTTACGTGAGGTTTAATTATTGTAATGATCATGATAAGATAAGACTTTTTGTATCGAAAGTCCACACCCCAAAAGAGGCTATATTAAAATATATTTATATTAAAGCAACAATTTTAATATATTGAGCTTTGTTTTCCTAAATTCCCAAAAGTGGCTACAGAACTTTAAAACGCACTGTACTGTAGATACCGGTAAGAATTCGGACATGCGAATCAACCAGTTAACAACTGGAGAATCTTTGTAGTTTCTCTATAAGCACGGTTCTTGTTGACGTCTGACATTTATTTATGTTGGATTTCTGTTTTATTTTTCGTTCTTTTATATCGTGTAAACAACGCACTTGACACATATTGGAGAGAGCCGTCCAGCAGCGAAACTCCGCAGAGAACCCGCCTCGAAACTGTAGGCCACAGATAAACCCGTTCGTCAAGTATTCGAGCTATGCGAGAGACCAAGTGATAATGGGAGGAACTTTAGAGCATCTGGGGAGGGGGATTCATTGACCGATCCACAGTCGTCATCGTCGTAGTAATCACACAATACCCGGGCAGTGAGCGGAAGGGCTGTCATTTGTTTGTTTTCGTTACGCCCCAAGAAGGCGAAATAATTCAATTAAATGTCGCGCAGTAAGACGAGAAAACTACGCAAATGAAGTGCAAGAGTCGAGAGAGATATTGGGTGGTTTCTGGTCTGTTTTTTTGTTGTGGTTGTCGCCTGAACTTGAGTAAATTGAATGCCAGACAGAAGCAGCCGAAAGTGGCAGATGGGGACGGAGGCCGGGACGGAGCTTTCTTTGTGTTTTGCACTTGACTTTCGGCAAAACGTCGCCGTTTTATTGCCAAAAATAAAAGTTCACTTGTGTGGGTATCAAAACAAACAGAATGCTGAACGAGTTGCGATTCACTTTGTTTCAAGGCAGAGAGCCTTGACGGAGAATCGGTTCAATGAACGTGGTGGCGGAAAAAGCTTGACAGCCCGCTCCAAACACTGAATTAAACCCGAAAGCAGGAGGAACTTTGCCCGAGGTTAAGGTGTTGCCCGATTGGTATGCGAGATGGAACTGATCGCTCGATATTGTTTATTGTATCTAAACGCAATTATACCCAGTCGAAATATTCCACATTCACGAGGCTGTTTGACATGCAGTTTTGTTAGCCGTTTAGCATGTTTCCGCTAAGGTGAAATATTGATGATAGCCTGTCATTAACCCTTTCATACATCGTTCTGAGGAGAGTCTTTAAGCCCCCCGAACGGATTTCATAACTGATTATTTTGGAACGCCATTTGATAAGTCGGATTTACATTACGAAACTAATTTCCCCCGATCTAAGGCTTATCTCCTTATTAAACAAATGTTTTCATTAAATTAATGATTCATCAGTTGAAATACCTAAATAAAACATACATATAAAGTCTTTGAATTTATTGACATAATTAAAAATCTTATCAGCCCCACGCTTAAAATTCTTGTACGAGGAAAAACATAAAAACCATATTTTTTCTAAGAATGTAAATACCTTAAACAATCTTGAAAGCTTTGGAATATCCGTTTCAAAATTATAAAGGCTATCAGTTGTTCTTAGTAAGAAGTGTGGTTTTTATGTTTAATGGGAAAACTCACGCTTAGAAATGTTTGTTTTTTACTCATCAAACATTAAACTTATTTATTTATTTACTTATTTACTGGTGCCCCTCTCTTCGCACATATTTTTAAGTTTATAAAAAAAAAATAATAGAATTAATGTTTTCGGTTAAAATTCCACTGGATAACGATAAGCTTTTCTGGCAAATGAAATGTTTGCTTGTGATTTACGGTTATCTCTTCTCTCTGACGCTTTGTTATCCAGGTGCTAGGGGTTAACCACTGTCCATGAAGGTCATTGCTCGCTGATGATGCCCACTGTGCAACTTGATCGCTGCCGACAGCAGGTTCCTTGCCCCGTACCTCCCCCTATACATACATATATTGTTGCATTTTCCAGAGTTGCTGCATCTGTTGTAAATGCGGGCGTACATTATATAGTTGTGAATGCACAGACACACAGATACGGTCATAATAATAGCAGCTGCAAATGGATATGTCTATTCTTCTTTAAATCATGATAAATGATGTTGAACACCTGTTAGATTTTTCTTTACTGTTTAAATTAAACTAAAACATTATTGTAACTCATTCTGACTAAGGATCTTCTGTTAGTTATATCTTCAATTTAAGATACTAATTTAGTGAAACATCCCAATCTTAACCTGTAATTAGGAGCAGTGCCTATTATTATGACTGCGTCTGCAGTTGTCCATGGGTGCCCGTCGTTGGTGTGTGTGCGTGTGATAACGAGTCAGAAATGCGATTAGATTTCATTTGTGGCACTCAAACTAACACACATACTCACACAACCGATGGGGGGCACAAAAATGCGAACTTCATTCATTACTCATACGCGGAGCGTCCCCCTTTCGCATAAACCTGTTCCACCTTTTGGGCCAACGCCCCCTTGGCCCCTCGACCGCTACGCCCCTGCTGACCAAGGGCTATGACTAATTTTTCGACCGGCTAACGGCACTTATCAACAACACGCACCAGAATCAACGAAACAAATAGAAGCCAAGCGTTATCATAAATAACTAAAGATGTTAGCAGGGGAATAACATTTAAATGGGGGATCCTTAATATTTAAAAGACAAACTTAGAAGAAAACACACAATTACGACAAACACAAAAGAGAGAAATGTTTGCCCCGCTCTCTTGCGCTCACCTGCAATGTTGCTGTCTTTATTGTTGTTTTACTTTTTGTTGCTGCTGCAGTCCGCCCGTGTGTTGGTGTGAGTGGGGGGCTCCGTGTGTCTGTGTCTCTTTGTGTGCGAGTGTGTGTGTGTGCGACTCCTCCTCCCCAAGTTTTCTAGTTTTCTATATTTTACGACTTTCTTTTCTTTCTTTCCTCCGAAAAATAGACACAGTCACAAGACGATGATGACGACGGCGACGTCAACAAAAACAGAAGGCCTTCGCGCACAAGCTCTCTATTGCGGGCGAAATGTACCCTTTGCACTTTGCACAACAAACACGGATTATTAGTATTAAATAATAGATTTAATATTTAATTGTTATTAAATCTGGATCTGCTTTCTGCTTTTCTGTTTCGCGTTTCGTCAGTGATGTGATCTGAGCAAAAGATTGCCCAAAATAAACAGCTAAAAACAAGCCAAATTCCGATAGAAAAAAGCTAAGAAAAATACTGACTTTTTGGTCAATTCCAGGGATCGCAAGTAAATATATTCAAATGTGTTTATTTGACATAGTTGCGTATATTATGCATATTTCATATTTACATTTCATATATGTTGCATATTTTATGCATATGCATTTTATGCAAATGCAAATTCCGAAGCTACAGCGATTAGCTAATAATTAAAAAAAGCGGGAATGACACCACTGTTTAGCGTTTTTTTGTTCCTGTTTGTGCAGTGTGCCCGCCGGCTTTTCCGCAGATAAGATTAAAAATTCAGGTAATGGCGGGGCAATTACGCTTTAATGGCTTCTGGTCACACTAAGAAGCTGAAACCTTGGTGCGTTGCCAGACCGTCTAAAGACGTAAGCAGATGATGTAATTAACGTAATGTCCCCGCACAGTCTGGCAACGCCAATTTAATTATTCAAAACAAAAAGTAACTGCCACTTTAACTTGTGTTTTCTTTTCTATAAGCCATAACATTATTTAAACCAAACACAATTTAATTTTTATTGACGATTTTATTTAGAATACCATTTTCATTTTCATATAATTACACGCTAAAATCTATTTTCTCATTTTGTTAACGAAATTGATAACAATATTTTTTCCTCTTTTTTTTTCTCGTGTGTATTCAGTTTGTGCCAGTGTGCACTACGTTTTCTTGGTGTGTGTGTGTGTTCTTTTGAGTGTGTGTGAGTCGTGTGTGTATTATTAACATTAGCTCGATGCGATTTGTTGTTTTTTGCCTTCGATTAACTCTAAGTACTATATACGTGTATACAGATATTAAATATAGATGCAAGTTGCATATTCGATATCGCCACCGGCGCCACCTCCATCCGGTATCTATCAGGTCGTTTTTCGGCTTTCCATCTTACGAATGTATCTCAAAGGGTTTTTAAATGTTATTTTAGTTTTTAAATTAAGAAACAATATAGAAATTTGCTTTTAGGTCCTAAAATCAGTTTAAAATGTGTGAAAAGTATGCAATAAAACGTTTCAGACACAAATTAAATGATCAGAAATTTTAAAAGTTTGCCTGGTTAATTCCACGACTTTTCTTGAAGGGCTTATATCTTTCCAAAGGATTGTAAAATCATAAGTTTGTTTAATTTTTGTTGCCGTGAGATTGAAAACCAAAAGACGCCCGTTGACCAACGCCAAAACACATACATACATACGCGAAATTGAGCCCCCAACAAATAAGCTTAAATCATAAGACGGTCCTCTGTTCGTTCGTCGGTCCAGGGTCATATCGATGTACTCCCCCTCCTCCAGTGCGGTCGAACCCCCGAAATCATAATCGAATTTTCGAAATAAAAATCGACGAAACAATAGTCAACAAAAAAGCGTCCGACAAACTGTTCGATTTAGCGATGGCTTAAATAAAACATAAGAACTAAGTTAACTTAAGACATACAAATCCGAATCTCGCTCCGCCCGCCGTTTGCATGCTGCTCCGCCCCAATCTCGCTCCTCTGCCACCTGCCGCCGCCTGCTTCCTCCTGCGCTGCGCTTTACAGTAAAATAATGTTTTGGGGAATCCCCCGCGGTACCTACACCCGGCTGCCTCACTCCTCCGGCGGCTCTTCGGGTATCTGGAGGCTCTGCGCCGCATGCGGGTACTCTGCGTGCACAGAGTTGGACTGCGCATCGGAGTCCTCCTCCAGGGCGTTCGCCTTGCTGGGCGGTGGTGTCAGCGCATCGTTACCGTCAACCACCGGCGGCTGCACCAGATTGGGGATATACTCGACCGTCTCATACTCGGTCTTGGCCACCGCCTCGTGGTCGAGATCCCGCTCTAGCTCCAGCTGCCTCTCCCTCTCGCGCTCCCTCTCTCGCTCGTGCTGCAGCGGATCCTCCAGACCGGGCGGTGGCACCACCACCGCTGAGTCCTCCTTAAGCACCTGATCTCCGCCAGCCTCTGCATTGGCCGTGTCGTTGAGGGTTGGAGAGGCCAAATCGGCCTCTTGCAGTTCCACAATCACGGGCAGCGTTTCGTTGGGCTTCGGAGTCGTGGTGCTGGTGGAGGTGGTTGTAGGAGCCGTGGTTGTGATAACTACTTCTGTGGGATCCAAAGCCACCTGACTGCTGGCCGTAGTCGTGGTCGTAGAAGAAGTTGTCGTTGACTCCTCTGTGGTGGAGCTGCTTGTCGTAACAGGAGTAGCTGTGGTAGACTCATTCTTTTCCACTTCCGGCGCCACGGGTAGCGGCAGAGGCGGCGGAGGCGTAGTAGTGGTCAGCAGCAGTGCCGGCGGCAGAGGTGGAACTATAGCCGTGCCAATGATCACCGGATTGATGAGCGGCTGGCCAAGCGTGGCGATGAGGGGGGGCAGCAGCTCCTCATTGCCCTTGAGCAGCGAGGGAACCAGCTTTATATTGGTCACCATAAGAGGCAGGTCCACCTTGTAGAGCATGGGCAGGACGGTGCAAACCTCCTGGTCGTTCTCGAAGCACTGCGAGCGGCCACGAATACGGGCCTCCTGGACGGCCATCAAGCGGCACAGTTCGTTCAGGCGCACATCACACATGATGGGATTGTCTGTGGATAAATAAAACATAGATTATTTATTAATGTAATATTAAAATTTTGAAAATTATTCTGCGTTACTGTAGCAACATCTATATGTTGACAGCAACAGATGGTGTTGCTCAACATGTTTCTAGGTAGATTGCCTAGCAACATTTAATCTTGTGAATTCCCCAACGTTAAGCTTTAGTTTTCGTACACTAAAACTGATTAAAAGTGATTAATTTTTACTACTTTTACTACAAATATTTCACTAGTTTACGTTCAATTTAATAGAGAGGAACTTACCATCTAGATGTATCTCCAGCTTGCCGGGAACATTGTGATTTTTGCAGCGCGTGTTGGTGACCAGTTCGCTCGATATGGTCGATATCTGGTTATTGGTTAAATTGGCCTGGCAGAGGACAGGCAAACCCTTGAAGTCCTGCTCCAGTTTGGTGATATTGTTGTAAGCCACCTTGAGGATCTTAAGGTTTGGCAACAAGGTCTGGAAGAAAGAATAAATTATTTTTAATATTTATAATCTAACATCTTAGGAGCTTTACAAATAGCAATTAAAGTATTCCAATAAAGCTATAATTTTTAATCTTCACTCACCGTTTCCATGGGCTTGAGCTCCGCCAGCTGATTGCCGGTCAGGTCGAGGATCTCCAGGCGCTGCATGCCATCAAAGTCGCCCACCTGGAGGTGCTCCAAACGATTCTCGGCCAGGCTGAGAATGCGGAGGTTGCCCAGACCCGCCAGAGCTCCGTTCAGAGAGTCGATTCTATTGTTGTCCAGCTGCAGTTCGAGCAAAATCAGCTCCTGCACACCCCGCGGATCGGGTAAAAGCCGCTCGATGCGATTGCTGGACAGACTGAGGGTCCTCAGAGAGCGCAGGCCATGCAGCTCCGCCATGGAGAACTCCTCAATGTCGTTAAACGAAAAGTTGGCAAATTTCAGCTTGGTGATTGGCAGCAGCGACGAGTTGAGCGAGCGAATGTGATTACAGCCGAGCTGCAGGTTCTCCACCTTGTCACAGGAGGCAAACTCATCCCGGGCCAGGTACTCCAGCTCGTTGTTCTCGGCCAGCACCTCGGACAGATTGACGGCATTGCGCAGGACACGATCGAAGGAGCGCAGTCGGTTGAAGTGAACGTGCATGGTCTCCAGGTTGTGCATCCCAGCCATGTTAGCCGGTAGTCGCTCCAGTCGGTTGTTGTGGGCCATCAGCAGGCGCAACTTGCTCCCATCCGGCAGCTCCCCATCCAGGTCGCTGATGTTGTTCGCATTGATAAACAACGACTGCAGCTGACTGAGATCGTGCAGGGAGCCATTGAGCGACTCTATTCGATTCCGCCCCAGATGCAGGATAAGCAGGCTTAGGGGGAAGGAGCCTCGGTCCAAGCGCGTTATGTTATTGCTCGGCAGGATCAGGTTCGTCACCAGCTGGATGCCCCGAAAGTCCTCCTGCTGCACCGCCCGTATGTTGCAGCGTCCGATGTCCAGCGTGAGCAGGCTCGGCATGTGGCTCAGGGCGTGCTTCGGGATCTCGTCGAGTTCGTTGTCGCCGATGCTTAGGTAGGTGACATTCGATAACCCGCGGAACGGCAGCTCGGGCAGCGATCTATAAATAGCGCCAAAAACAAAAGAAATCCATTACAATTTCGTATTATTAGCCGAAAAGCACGAGAATTTGACTGGCATTGATCGAGACGTCTTAAGCCGATTTATTAAATGTTGAAAAGAGAGTAGAGGCTATGAGTAAATATTTAAATTACTTCAATTCAAATAGTTTTAAAAACAAACTAAATGAGTGGCGAGATCTATATTTATTTCCAGGAAACAATAAAATGTTGCGAATTTAAAAATATTGAAATGTGAATTCTAGGAATTTAGTTGTCATAATAAAAAATTATTATCTGAATAAGCATTTAATAAGTTTCTATTTAGAAAATGTAAAACATGTGTTGCTTCTCAAGAGCAAATAATAAAATAATAATAAATAATGTTTACGAAGACCAGAATCAAGTGGGAGTAATCTATTTGTATCTTGGATTCCAGGTAGTTAATAATTAAATAAAAATCATCCCTGTCACATTTCTCAACTATCTGTGGTCTTAATCTCAACCTTATAAATTCTTTAGGAGCTAAACCAAGACTTCTGACGACATTTTCTCCTGGTGTTGCACAATAATATAAGCTTCTGAATAATGAAAGTTGTTTGGGAATAATTTAAGAGAAATTTCTATTAATTTGTTTAAAGTGGCAACTACTTTCTCTCTACTCAGAAATCAATCAATGAAATGACTAGAAGTCCTGTGAAAACTCAGCTAGATTAAATTAACATATTTATTTTACTATCATTGAGATGTTATATTTATTTAATAATATTTATTTAACTATCATTGAGATAGTTGCATCGAGATGCTAGCAATGCCAATCTGATTCACTCTGTGACAATGAATCAGCCAAATCTGTAATTGGTTTTGAATGGGGCCGGATCGAGTTTCGCATCCCTGGTCTATCTTTGGATCTGATGATGACGCAGCCTTATCAGGGGCGCTGCTCCGCGCCTCCGCCGCCCAATCCCGCCCTGCTTCCCACCTGCACACACTGTATCTTTATCGACGTCTGCAGGTGGCTATTAAGTTGTCGCCGTCGAGGCGCCAAACGGGCGCTGGAGCAGCAGATTCATGATGGGAACTGGGCTGGATGTGGATGCGGATGGCGTGCCAAGTGCCAAGAGTGGAGTGGACATCCTTGGCGCCCGTTATTGGCATGCGAGCATGGCATACGAGGAGCCACTGGCTCAGCACTTTGATTGGCAGGGGCTATTTTTAGCTTCCAGCTTCCAGCTACCAGCCTCCAGCCAGACGATCGTGATTGATTGCCGGCTCCGAGCAGGAGGAAGACCAGGAGGAGGGCCTACGAGTTGCGCTTGTCAGCCGTTGATTATGTAATGAGAAACGCTGGGCAGGAGCAGCCGGCCCCCAGATAACTCGTACTGTATCCATAATGAGCCCGTTGAACTTGAGCACATATCTCTGGGATGGCTGGGAAGTCTAAGATAGCTGAGATGGCTGTGATAGCTGGGCTGGAGCGGATGGACGCGGACGCGCACTTGGACATGTGTATCAGAGATGTATCTACAATTCCTTAACGTCAGCGGTATAATTGTCACACGACCTAAACTGGCCCCTTGATCATTGATTGAGCGTAATAATAAAATTCAATTGGACTGCCTGCTTCGCTCTCGACTGACCCCGGAGCAAAGACCACGGAACTCGGAGAGCCCGGAGCACGGACCACGGAGAACGGAGAGCCGAGCAACCCATTCGGAATCGAAAACAAAAACATGTACGAAACATTCCATTATAAAGTCATATTTGGGCTATTGACGCCGACGCCGACGCCTCTTTTGCAAAACTCTTGTTTATTGTTTACTTCGCTTCCTGGGGATACGGTGGGATCAGTTTCGGATCCATCTATCGAAGCCATTATCACGCTTTGGGCCCAGACAGATCGGCTGGGAATATTCCACGCGTCTCAATAAATTATGTGCGCTTATAGTAGTTATCATAATTAATTGCCAGCGGATGAAGGAAGCCGTCAACACTTTTCGCACTTTTTCAGGGCTGCGACTGCACTCTGATAACAGCCTCAAACAAATCAGCGAGTGACTGAACATATAATGGCCATACACAACCTGCTTATCGCCTGAGAAAGCAGAAGACCAGAAAAGGCCACATAATGCGACCACGACTCCAAGACCCAAGACCCGAACCGAACCTTGTATTATGCTCCGTGGTAATCACATTCCCCCAACCCCCATAGGTCCTGTCCCGGAGAGTTCATTCCATTCAATAGTTGCCGTTGCGTTGACCACACTTCAATCGAGTGGACGCTGATTATGGGCGATCGTAAAATATGATCATAAACTTGAGTTGATTGTTTTGGCGCCAGTCATAAAACAGATTCGAAAAGAAATCAAAAAACAGTAGCGCTTATCGGAGAATGCCTCCAGCTGTGGTCCATATTTGGGCTAGGAAGGCACATATGTACATAGATCTGTACTTGGACTAAATTCACAAGTGTCATGATGCAGTGGAGACCTCAAACCAGTGATAACCAAGAGAGAAGAACAGATCTGTTAAGGGTTCTTAAGTAGAGTTCAACTACAATAATATAATAAAACCATATCCCTAACTGAACCCTCTTAATATATAGCATCGAATATGTAGCAACTGATTAGACCCTACAAGAGGCAGGGCTCTCCATTCGATTTGATCACGCCGAAATCCCAGACATTAGGAAATTCCACGCGCCTCTTGATGATGAGCGTATCAGTAAGTATTGAGTACCAAGCACACCGAGTACGGGGAAGTCATGATCATCATGTCGCCGCCGCCATGGAGATACGCATGTGTGCGCTCTGGTAGCGGTATTTTTCCTGGCTGGGTTGGCATGATTTGGTCAAAGCGCGATATTAAGGCAATAGGTCAATTGTTATAAATTGACATCAATGTAAAAAAGCGCTCCCCGAGCATGGAGAGCTTGGTAGCCCCAGAGGCACGCGCTCTCCGCTCCAAGATCGACGCTTGGGGGAGCTGCTGGTGCACAACACTGATTCGATCAAGTCGGGTAATTAAATCATTCCGCCTTACATACGAGGAGAACACACAGAGGCGAGGAAAGCAAATTGCATTCGATGGGTTGGGATGATAAATCGAAAACTATAATCTGATAATCAAGAAAATAAACTAAAAAAAAATGCAAATACAATTCTGAGAATTACAAATTGATAAAAAATAAACAATTTCGCGGGAAATGAGTAATAAAAATAATAACAATTGAAATAAGAGCTTGGTATTTCATTAAGATAATATATAAAAACGCGATTATTTAAATAAAATCTTCAAGTTTTCTGTCACTCTTTTTTGTTAATATAAATCAAAGTTATCCCTTATTTGAAGACATATAGATTCCTTTTGAAACCGACTCATTCCATACAATCCATTGATTCGAAACAAACACTCGTATCTGTGCGCTTCCCTCGATTATGGAAAATATATTTTTCGGGGCTCAATCTTTTTCGAATGGCATTTCTGCCGAATCAATCGCGTGGGGCACAAAGACTCTTGAGTCATGATCGCATTTTGTTTTGATCGGAGAGAATCGAATCGGTGTGAGTACGAGTATAATGCAGGCGAAGTCAAATATCAATGAACCCGCGGCAGGCGCTTATGAAATAGGCTCGAATGTTATTTCTATATTCGCATTTATTTATAATTGCCAATATATAAATCACAATGCGACAGTGCGGCAGTGAATTGAAATTCATTGAGAGTCAGAGTCGGAAAACGTGCAGGCGCCGTTGAAAAGCGCTTTCAATAAACTGCAATTATCAATTTTGTGTACGCATTAAATGAGCGCCGATCTCGGTGGTTGTACATTTGAATACACACGTCCGAGTACATAGACACCCATACCAAGAGCGGTGCTGATAAGCCGCGGCTATTATCAATTATCAATTGAATAAAAAAAATACTCGAAGCGGAGAGATGCTGCTTAGTTCGGGTGATAGGATCCAATCGGATCCGATCTTGTACACAGCGTCTTACTAAGACCCGCTCGCAATTTGCAGCAATTCAATGCTACTTCCTAATTGAAAAATTAAATCATCTGGGCGGCAATTAAGATTCGCCTGCCAGCAGCAGCATCTCCAGCTCCTTCGCAGCACCCAATTTGCCCAATTGAGGGATAGCCATAGATAATGACCGGACTCTTTTACGTAAACAAGTGACATTGTTATTGTTTTAGTATCTACTGGGCGGCGGGAGGCTGTAAACAAGCCTGGTGGGGATCTGATCCGATCCGATCTGAGGAGCACATTTTCGTGCATTTACATAAACGTATTGAAATTTGTGTACGATTTGCATTATTATTTATTCGCTCGGTTTTTTATTGGGTTTAAGGAACCTAAATTGATAGCCGGCCGAGCGGAAAATTCTGTTTCTCCACGGAACACGGCAGCTGGCCTTGAACTCCCCCTAGACAAGAAAATTTTTGATTGAGTCTACGGCGGAAAAGTCCCCCCGCAACAATTGATTTTCCAGACTGTATGGGTTTTACCAATTTTTGAATTCAGTTTCAGGGAAATTTCTATGACAACACTAAGACTAAGAAAGAAAATTACTTGTAAAAGAAATAATATTTTAGAAACCCTATTATAGAGTCTGGCAATAATAAATTTAAGGGATTCTCAGCTTTAATGGATACAACAAATTCAGACCTATCTAAATCATACATATCTTAAATGTATCTTTTATATATTCAACCCCAAACTCTAATAAATAAAATAAAATAGGCACAAACAAACATTTTTCTAAAGAGTTTTCTTAAGCAAAAAAATAAAAAAAATTCTCCAAAAATTTCCATGGCACCCAAAATAGTAATCCCACTCACCTAAGTCCATTCCATTGCATCCTTAGCTTGTACAAGTTAAAGTTCATATCCGTAAACGAGCGCATTTCCATGTCGTCCAGCTGCGAATGCGTGATCTTCAGGTCGATTTTCGTGTCCGGGTTGAGCTTATTGGCCAGGCTGTCCACCACGGCATTAAAAGACTCCAGCTTTTCACAGTTGAGCTCCACATGGTTCCAGGCCTTGCCCGTCTCGCAAGTGCAGGGCGAGATCTCCGGACGCACCGAGCACTGGAGCGAGGCCAGGTGGAAGACGGTGTACACGAGGGACGTCATTTTGGCGACCACTCAAGCACTGGGGTAAACTTGGTTCTCGATGTTTGATTTCACAATTCTTTGGCACGGCAAATATATATAAATATGTTTTCGGTATTTCTGAGATTTTCCGTTTCACAAGGCACCAAGATTCACTGTTTTTCCGGACGATGTCAGGACGCGTTGCTTGCGCTCGGGCGGCGGATTAGTAACTGTTCGAGCAGGCAGCTCGGAAAACGCTCGGGAAATTACCCACTAGACGGCGCACATATGTGTGCGTGCGGGGGTTTCCATCGCAGCTCGGTTTTCCAGCAGGATTGCCTTTTCGTTTATGTTTTCGATCTCGATTCCGTGGATTCCCTGAACCGCCGCTGGCATCGGATTTCAAAGCGGCACTGCCACAGCTCTTGGTTCAAACAAACACACACGGCACCAGCACGCACAGCACTTTGGGTTCGACTCGGTTGGATCTAATCGCCTGGGATATGTGGAGGGCTGGAGCTGCTCCTCCTCCGCTTCTAGTGCACTCTCCCCGGCTTCCCGGCGCCCACAGATCTCCCTTTCTATCTGGCTAGACCTCTTGACCCGCTCGACCGGGTGTATGTGTATATAGATCGCCGATGCTCGGAATTAATCTTCTAAAAAATTGTATTGTACTATATATTGGTTGTTATTTTTTTTTTCGAACGCCGCGAGTATGTGTATGGGTGTGAGTCAAAGTCTCGGTTCCGATCGATCGAATGAATCGCTTCTAGCCCCGGTGATCACGTCTTGATTCCAGCACGGTCCGTTTGTGACTGGGAGTGGGAATAAAAACGCTGAGGATCCGTATGCCGATGCTGCTGCTTCTGCTTCTGCTGCTGCTGCCGCCGTCGCTGCTGCTTCGGATGATGCTACTGTTGCTGCTGCTGCTGCTAGTGCTGCTCTCTCTCGGATCTCTTGGCTCTCCGCGGAGAAGATTGAGCGGCTTTTTGGCCAATTGGCGACCTGGGAACTGGGAGCAACCGGGAGCTGCGCTGCCGGGACTCGTGTAATTGTCCACAACACTCAATTACATGTGTTCCTGTTCTTTCGGCGCCAGCCATCAATCTCCAGCCACATCTCCAACTCAATCTCGATCTCAATCCCGATGTGCGTGTTTGTGCCCCCTTCGAGCGGCGGCTGCCTACTGCAGTTGGGATCTTCTTGAGTACCTAGTTCTATGTATGGGGCATCATTATCGTTGTGGACACATGTTGGTGGCTGTGTGTGCGCGTGGTATTCAGTGCTGACAGTCAGCAGTCTTAAAAAAAAAGGATGGAAAATGTTAAGAACTATATTATTTTAGGTGTTTATCTTATTTCTGTTGAAACATATATAATATGTAGGTGGATTGAATATATTATTTGTTATATTTCTTACAACCAACTAAAAAATGTATTTATTTTAAGCAAAACTTTATTAAATTTCAATTCAAAAATCAAGGGAAATTGGTTCACTGATAGGCTAAAAGAATAATACAAAAATATTGTAAAAAAAGAAAGGAACTTAAATTCGGAAAGCCAAAGTTTGTGTACCCTTTCAGTTTACAATTAGATCAGGGGCCGAAAATCGATCATCTATTTACTATATCTATTATAACTAAGCCAAAAATACATTAATTTAAATTCGGAAAGCAGTTAGTGTGAAAGTTTTTATTACCTTAAAAATTTACTTACTGATTTCAATTTTTAATAATTTGAAAGATATTTATCCATATTTTTATATGATAATTTTTGGGAAAAATCCTAAGATTAAAAATATTATAACTCGGTCGGAAAATCATCAAATTCAATTTGGAAAGCTTTTCTATCTTAGTTTTTAGTAGGATAATAAATCACAATACTGCGTTTAACATTTTTAAAATTTTAATTTTGAGCTAATTTTTGTAAATTTTAACAATGTAACCCCTTATAAAATTTTGAAAAAATCTAAAAAATATTGTTTTCCTCCGGACCTGCATAGAAAGATTGGCCTTTTGATGCTGATCAAAAATATATATGCTTTATAGGCCCGAAAATAACTCCTTCAATGCGTTATGCCAACTTCTGACTAAACTTATAATACCCTGCAAGGGTATAAAAATTGTTAATAAATAATAATAATAATCTAGATACTCCCTTAACTTCTAACCAAAAAGGACAAATCGCCTGCACTGCTGGTACTTACATATGTGCAGCTTGTTGTTTTACGCACTCTTAATAAATTGTCCTTTACATATGTATATGTACACACGCCCCGACATCTGGCACTCGCTGGGAAGGTTTTTAATTATGACGTTTCGTTCCGTTCCGGATCGTATCGTATCGCATGGGATCTCGGGGTGCCGTGCCTGGTTAGCAGCGATTGAATGAAACCGGCTTGTTTAAGGATCTGCTTGCTGCTGCAGCCCAATTGAGATTGGGCCAAACATTTCAGCATGGCAGATGAAAATTTTCCACTGGCGCCAGCTGCAGGAGGGGAGCAGCGTAGCTTGGGAGTGGGGGGAGTAGCAGCAGCAGTAGCAGGAGGAGGAGGAGGTGGAGGAGGAGGTGGCGGAGCCATGCATCAAAGTCCGCTGCCTTAATTTATTTCGAAGTTCTGGGCCCCGCGCATGCATAATGAGCCACTCGGCGCCTTAAATGCACTCGCCGCGAATTCCGCACATTCCCTGGATTGCGCGTGCCAACGATGTCGCTGTCCTATGTCTCCTCACCGATCTGGCCGCAATTAATCATCGGGATTATCGGGCGGGGAGCTGTGAGCAGGCGAGTGAGTGGCTTCTGTGGACCGTCCAACTTGCTGACACGCACCATCCGCGTCCGCGTCCAATACCACTTCATCGAGATGGACTTACATTCATTTTCCAGGCTGCAGAATGCCAGCTCCCAAGAAGCCTTGGCACGATTATGTTTAGGGTCGTCTGAAAGATAACCGTGATTGTATACAGCAGGGTTCATAAATGTATGAATATAAAATACATTTATTATATAATTATTATTATTTTTTGCATTTATATTTTTTTAAATATTTTATTATTTGGATTCTTTTTGAAAACAGTTAAGGGCTTGAGTCTTTTTTATAAAATAAAAGTAATTGAAAGCAAATAGAACATATACATACGTAGAGCATAAATACGAAAGGATACCTTGTCACCTTAATAGAAATTTAAATTAAAGTTAAAAAATTATATAAAATGTCATACTATGCTAATCTCTTGTGTCATTAGAAAACAACCTTAAACTAAAATCTAAACAACCTTTTCTTCGGATTTCCCATAGGCTCTGTGTAATATCTCACAGGTTTTTGAAACGCAGTGTTTCCCATAACTATATATATACAATTTTCTACAAAAGATGTCTCTATTTTCATGAGAAAACAACCTTAAACTAAAGTTAAACAAGTGTAAAAAGTTGAAACCATTTTAATCCTTTTAAAATAAAGAGCTTTCCTTACGATTTCCCATAGACCCCGTGTAATATCTCGCAGGTTTTTCGAAACGCACTGTTTCCCATAACTGAGAGGTATTAAAAATATACATCGATTACGTAGCCAGCCTATTTATAGGATCCAATCATTCAGAATAAATATTTAAAGAAAACCGTCAAGTATTAATAATTATTATTTATTCATGTTTTCTTCCTTCTTTTTTTCGCTTTCGTTATTTGCGGTTATTATTTGTTTTTGTATTTTTTGCACATAAATATTCTCAACATTTTGATGTGACACATTTTCGTGTTTCGATTGCAGGCGACACAACAACAACAAGAGTAGCGTAGGCTCGTAGGAATTCGCTGTCGATGGCGAATGGTAGGATATGTGGGCTGGATACACGCCTCCTCCTCAAGTTGATGTCCACTTGAGCTGCTGCTCTGTGCTCTGCACATTCCGGGATCGGTCGTCATAGGCCATTCAGCAGCAATCATGTGCCAGCGGCTCACGTCAATGCCGGGCGGCGCCGTCCAAGATATTTGGCTGGAATTCGGAATTTGGCTGTCGTCACGGGTCTGTTCGGCTCTTTCTCCATGTCTACCACGTCACGCGCCGTGGGGACGCCACAGCCATTTGGGACAATTGAAAGCATTCCGCGCGATGTGTGTGGTCCCCATTCATGCGAATCCAATCCAATAGCCATTCGGTTTTGGTTAATAAGTGTGTTTATTTTGCTCCTGCCTGGGTTCCCGTTCTGTGTGTTTGTGTGTGTGTGGATACATGGGTATATCAGTTGGATATTATTATTCTATATGGGTCGAAGCATTTGCTAAAGGTCCTCTCCGTGTGTGGGTCGTCGTCTCTCCTCGCTTTAAACTGAACTTATCCCTTAACTAAATTAAATACGATGCTTTAAAGTAAAATGTACAACAAGCACTAGGTGGCCGCCGCCTACTTCTGCTCGGCGAACTTGGCTATCTGCGGATACTTGTTGGGCTTGTAGTCGGCATCCTGCTTGATCCTCTCCCGGACAATGCTACGCACTGCATCCGTGTAGGAGGCCTGGGTGGAGGCATCGTGAGCAATGGAACCGATGACGGTGTCCGCACTGATCGAGGAACTGGAGGCACTGCCATTGCTGCCACCCAGGCCAGAGTTCTGAAGGGCTCGCTGCACTCCACTGGCAATGAGGCACTCCACACTAGCCGTCGGCTTCTCCGACTGGATAATCTTGCGCCGCTTAGCGGACATTCCAGAGATGTAGGCATCAGAGTAGGGTGGCTGCGGGCGGTTGCTCTGCTGCAGGAATTTGGAGGTTTTAATAGATGTTTCCACTCAAAAGAGACTCTGGGGAGAACCTACCTCAGTCTGGGTCTGCAGGTCGCGGGTTATCACTGGCAACCAGTCGTTGGGGAAACTCATGTGCCAGGGCTCGGAGCCCACAATCACGGCGGGCAGGGTGTCTGCGGGAGCACTGCTGCTACTGCTGGCAGCCACTTCGGCCATTTCCACATCTGTGTCCAGGGTTTCCAGCTGCGGTGGTTGTGGTGTCTGCTGAGGATTAAATGCCAATGGTGGTGGTGCCACAAAAGGCTTCTTTTAATGATGCCAGACGCTCATTATTAAAATTTATCTGACTACTTACCTCGCCGGCATCAGTGGGAGAGACTGCTTGGGTGCTGCGCAGGACAAGGAACTGTTGGGCATCCACGGTATCCGTCTGGGCGGGAATTGTGGGGTCTATATAGATGCACAAGAACTGTAGAGCTTCGTTGCGGAAATCTGCAAGGGAAAGGGAGCTAGAGTCCAGGATTCAAGTGAGGATTTATTCCGAAACCTACTAGATCGCAGGGGAGCGCACAGCAGGCGCATCAGTTGGCGCCAGTAGAGCTCCGCATTGGCGCTGCCCAGGCACAGAAAGAGGACGCTGTAGAGACGCTTGCGGAACTGCTCGCAGATCTGCTTGAGGTTCTGCTCGAACTGGGCGCCACCTGGTGCTCCGCTGCTGCACAGCTCGATGATTAGGCGCAGGCTCACGCGCAGGATGTTGCACACCGAGTCCCTGGAGTTGTACTCCGGCCGCTCGTACTGCGGCAGATAGACCAGGCTCTCGCCAAACCATTCCAAAGCCCTTCCAATTGCCTCCGGGATCGTCTGCTCGTTGATGGGCACTCCGCCCGCGAAGAGGCTGTCGTTGAGGAAGTTGCGCAGCTGCGAGTGCAGGTTACTGACATCAACGCGTGGTATGGTGGGAGTTGCCTGCGTTGATGGAGCAGCGGCTGTAGGAGAGACCGTAGTAGAGGCTGCCGCTGCTGCTGTTGCTGCTGTGGCCGAGATGGCTGTCACTCCCTCGGCGGTGGCGATGGCGGCGCTGCCTGCCGGAGCTGATTGCGCATTATTTCTCAGATTATTAAGCAAAAAATTAGCGACTAGGGTGGGGAATGGTCTGGACAGGCGGCCGGTGGCGGTCTGGATGCGCCCCCGCCGTACGGCTCCCAGGCCGACATTGGTGCCACCACCAACGAGGACCGGTCGAGCCGCCGCCGCCAGCCGATCGCGATTGAAGGGCACTCTTCCCATGGCACGCACTCTTGCGGCTCCACCCCTGAGAGTGGGGCTGCCACTACCACCACCACCACTACTAACGTGGCTATGGGTCTGGGTCTGGGCCTGCGCCCAGGCTGTCGGCCGGAGGCTGTTCAGTAGATTGCTGGCAGGACGCTGGCGGCGCGACGACCACGTGGAGCGTACGTTGGCACTGCCGCGTTGGATGCGATCAGAGGTGACTAGATGATGACATGGATAGAATGGAGATTAATGTCAAAGATGGAGGCCGGTCAGCAGTCGAATCGCTTAGGGATTTGCGGCCTGGTAAAAGAGGTATTTCTCTGAGAGAAACTCACAATAAGGGAATGTCTGCCGACAGGAAAAATCGGAGATTAAGAATATAAATAAAAATCTATAAAACTTAATTTTGAGCTTTTAAATATCGATACTATACAAATTTGATTGAAAAAGTCAGTTTTGAGAACAAAAAATAGAAAATAATCTTTGCAGGATCCTCTACAGAGCAATCCTTCTCAATATTAAACAAATATTGTTTTAGAATTGAATAATCTTTCAGGGGACTTTCAGGTGGAGCCAGGTCACACCCTGGGATTCGGCTGGCATTCGACTGACCGGAGCTTTCCATCTCTGGGTTCAATGAGTCTGTGTGCTGATGATGAAGGGGCGTGCGATGGAGGCGTGGCCGGGGACGTGGACGTGATGTGGCATTTGATTTGGGGAAATAATTGTACTCACCAGGGCGAGGTCCAGCGGCGGTTGTGGGCAAAACGATAGCGGCTCCGCTGGCTGGTGCTGTGGTGGTGCTGCGGTTGTTGTTGGTGCTGCCACTGGCGTTGCTACTATGCGGTAGCTGCTCCGGCTCCCTGATGTGGTGACTGTTGCAGGGCAGGAAGCGATCAAAGGCCGTGTGCGTGGGAGCAATACGTCCGCCCCAATTGTTGTTGCCGCCAATCTGAATCTGGGGACGCGATGTCGACCGAGTCTGGGTCGAAGTGGTGGGCAAGGTGTTCGCCCTCTGTTCTCCGCTTCGAGTTCCATTCGAGGTGGAGGCGGCTGTCGGAGACTCTGCAGCCGGCGAAGTTTCATTAGAGTCTTCCGTGGCGGGAGCGGGAGCCGATGCAGCAGTAGCTGCCGAGCCAGCGGGAGCCGGACGCACTGCGGCAGTCATCACATGCACCGGCAAGTTGATCGACATGATGTTGGGCGAATTGAACTCGACATGAACATCGTTGGCCTCGTTGTTGGCTCGGTTGACCACGGCCTGTAGCAGTCTGGCCATTTCCATCTGGGGATCTGCAAAGCCACCAAAGGGGGTTAGAAGCTGACCTCCATGGGAACCTCAAGCAGGGATTAATCTGGGTTAGAGGCGGTTCTCAATAAAACGAACAACAACGGGGTAAGTGAAACCAAAACAAGGGATGCAGTGCATGAGCTAGTGGAACAGGGTTAGTCCAACGCGACTGAGATGAGAGCGGGCTTCAAACCGAACTATCAAAACCTACTGGGCGGTGGCAGGGTCACTGGCACATACACACGCAGCCTGGGAGCTGCTCTGGGGGGCTCTGGGACCGAGGCCGAAGCCTGATCTTGATCTTCGTGATCGTGCTCTAGAAAATTATCAAGAAATACAATGGGTAATACAGAGAGTTTCATGGCTCCTCTTTCTTTCATTTTGAATACCTCCTTATAGCTATGAAACGCACTGTATCGAAAAACAGATAAACCAAGGAAAAAACCTTACCCATTTCCAAACGTGGCTGCTGTTGTGCCTGAGCAGGGGCTGCGCCGGCTGCATTGGGTGCCACCATGGGCTCATCGACAGGATCCTCGACGCGATCGCTTTCCGCACCAAGAGCAGCTGCAGCCGCTGCATTGGCAGCACTGGCCGCTGCTACATTGGCAGCTCCGGCGGCATTGGCAGCCCGAGCAGCCATCTCGGCCGCTGCACCGGCAGCCCTACTGGCAATCTCGATCATAGCTCGCACATTTGAAGCCGGCTCAGAGGTAGCCGGAGCGGCCGCCCCCGTAGCGGGTGTTTGAGTTCCTGGAGCAGCGGCAGCATGTTCTCCAGCTCGGAGGGCCATCTCGTTGAGCAGACCCGGCGGCGGAGCCATAAAGTTGGGCGTAAATATGTTATTGGAGCGTATGTAGCCGCTCTGCTCGACGAGAATCGGTCGGCAGGTAAGCACTCGCGGTCCTGGCTGCGATAGGTCCAGCATCAAGTCGGAGATGGCATGCTGGGCGTGCGACAGATAGTGGAAAGCCTCCGATACGCGGTCAAAGATGCGCTGGGCATCCTCACGTCCAGCAGTGTCCTGGGGGAAAAGAATATACGATTTAGCATAAGGATCTTCATAAAAAATCCGGTCTGTCCACTCACACTCTCCTCGAACGTGGGATCGTTCTGGAGGATATCGTAGTAGCGGTCCACGAAGGGCGCCAGTCGCGTTTGGACACGGCGATAATGTTGAATGACCTGGGCTAAGACTTGGGGCCGGGTGCGGCGTCGAGGGCCCGCATTGTTAGCTCCCTCAGCGCCAGCCTGAGCAGTGGCTGCATCTCCAGCGGCGGAGGAAGAGCTGGGTGCAGCAGAAGCAGCCGCAGCATTCGTATTGGCAGCCGGCTGACCACCAACTGCACCTTCCACCTCCGGGTCCGGAGTAGGTGTTGTCGAACGATCAGAGGCCCCATCGGCGGCCTCATCGTCCGTCTCGATCACATCCTCAATGATGACAGTGGCCGCTGTTGTCTCACCGCTGGCATCGCTGGGGGTTCCAGCAGCTGCTCCCTCGCTGCCAGCAGCCTCTCCCGTCCGCTGCTGACTGGTCTCGCCGCTCTCGTTGGTATAAACCGTCGGCAGCTGCACCACCGTGTAGTTCCGGGCTCCAGTACGCGACAGAGCAGCCGTCACTGCGTCCTGGACCATGTCGATAATGTTGTTGTTGCGCGGCAGATCCGTGGAAGAGACGCCCACCTCAACCACCGTTGACTCCATGGACCAGCGACCGCGCTGCAGAATGTCCAGAGACTGGTTGTTCAATCCCACAGCCGGATTCTCCAGATAGGCGGCTATGTTGCCGGCGCATTCGATCATGTGCATGGCCACTGTGATGCGGTTGATGCAGAAGGACGAGGAGTTGGGATAGCGAGTGCTCGGAGTGCGGGTCTGCAAGAATTGAGGTAATTTTAAGTCCCAGGGGAATGTGTTGTATTTACTTACCCCGGTCACGGGGCCATTGTTCACTGGTATGGCCATGGTGCCCACCAGCATGCCATCGAGAGCTCGGAAGTAGGGGGAGGTGCGCATACCCGGGGGCGGACGTGCCACGTTCCGGAAGGTGCGCATCGGCTCATCATTGTTCCGGGCATTGGCTCCGCGCTGCGAGAACGGCGGACGCTCCGCCACGTGCAGGACCTTGCCGTCGACATCTGCAGAGGCGGAAAGGTAAGTAATTTCAGGGTCTCCAGTGTGCGGGGCATGACTCACCGTACTCCTTCACCTGTTTCTCGTCGGCGAGCACGCGACCCTGGTAGATGATGCGCTGGTTCTCCGCCGCTATGTTGGTCTTCTCCGCTATTTGGTCCTTGAACTGACGGATCGTGATCTGGAACGAAGCAGGGCGAGGCGCATATGCATATGTAGAGCCTCTAGATCTCTGGTTCACAACCTCAAAAAAAACTTACCTCATTGTCGATGCTGAATTCGTGGGTGCGCGCATCTAAGGTCTTCACCTTAAGATTTATTTGCATTTTCGCTGCCGTTCGCTGTTCGCTGGAAAGTCTCTTGAATTCTCAGTTTTTCGCTGGGAAATCCGTCGTTCGAACGGCCAGGGGGAAGGGGGGGAAATCCGTTTCGGTGTCGGTGTCGCTGTCACCGTCCCTCTCGCTCGCACTCACTAGCGCTGGCTCGCCTATGGCTTTTCCGGACACGTTTTCACGCAAGCCCACGCGGTGCTGCTTGATGTTCGTTCGCCGCGAATAAAGCCTGCTGTCGGCTCGAAGCGGTTATATAGAGCGGATATTTGTAAAAACCGTAACGATTTTACAAATTTGACAACAGCGGCAGAATATTTCACTGGAATTTACGAGTGTGACCGTACCGGAAAACTTTGTTCGAGCGCAAGTGTGGCCATGTCCGTCAAATTAGCGTCGGTGAGTTAGCGTCGAAATGGAACGGTGGGAAAATGGAACACTGAGGGATTTTTTATTTTTAATTTATTTCGTTAATAAGGCACTAATTTGAACAAAATAAAGTTTATAAATGCTTAAAAATGAATTTACTATTGATTTTTACTGGGTTTGAGGGGATTTAACCTTTCGGTCTATTAAAAAAAAGCATTCGAAAAATCGTGTTTTCGCAATTTTGTTTATAGCTCGGCTCAACGAAATTGTGCAGATATACCCGGTATGCCAGGATAAAGGACATTTATTGTACTTTCACCCTGCAAAGTTTCATTAAAATCTATCCATAAGTTTTTGAGAAAATTGCGTAACAGTAAACTAACCTCGGGTTTCGCTCCATACAAAATGAGGCAGGAAAAATTGTAACTCCTATAACTCCAGTTAACGAATTTGTGCCAATATGCACGGTATACTGGCTTATTAAGGGAAGTTTAAAGAATATTTGGTAAAAGTTTCATAAGATTCTATCCGTCAGTTTTTGAGAAAATCGCATAGCAGTGGGTGGTGTAGGTGGGCTGATAACAGAGGCGCTAACTTTGAAAATGGAACCAGCTGTGAACCTGCAGAGAACCAGTTGCCGAACCAGACAGCGGAACCATGTTAAAGAAATACTAGATTTCAGAACATTAGCAATTTATGGAACTTAATATTAAATAAATTAACTGCCCAATAAACGATACCGCCATTGTAAGAAATTTGGTAGGTGTTTCATCAAAATTCGTCCAGTCTTTTGGGAGAAATTAGCTATTACCCGAATTTTTAATTATTGTTGTAAATACCTTGGTATTACTATGCACCCCTGGTAACTAACACCATCTAAGTTCGGCGCTAAATTTGAAAAAATAATTTTGCAATGTTCAACGAATTTGTGCCAACATGCACGGTATATCAAACGAAAGGGGGCATTTTTCTCTAATTTCGAATTAAATCTTATTGAATTCTACCCGACAGATTTTGAGAAAATCAGGTGTTTATATTTCTGACCCCAATTAATTAACACTGGCGCATATCGATAGGAGCGCGTCCCACTCCCTATCGATACGCCTCCCGCCAGAAAATATTTATATTGACAATTTGAACAATTGTATTAATTATGAATGCCCAATAAACGACCTTGTCATTCTAAGCAATTGGGTAGGTGTTTTATCAAATTCCGTTCAGTCTTTTGGGAGAAATTAGCTACTCCTCGAATTTTAATTATTGTTGTAATTACCTAGACGGTATAACTATGCACCCCTGGTAACTAACACCATCTAAGTTCGGCGCTAAATTTGAAAAAATAATTTTGCAATGTTCAACGAATTTGTGCCAACATGCACGGTATATCAAACGAAAGGGGGCATTTTTCTCTAATTTCGAATTAAATCTTATTGAATTCTACCCGACAGATTTTGAGAAAATCAGGTGTTTATATTTCTGACCCCGATTAATTAACACTGGCTCATGTCGTCCCTCTCACCACGTGGATGCCCCATACGATATTTTCGACGCTAACTTTTAAAAATATTGTGCAGTCCTCAACGAATTTGTGCCAACATGCACGGTATATCAAACGAAAGGGGACATTTTTCTCTAATTTCGAATTAAGCCTTATTAAAAATGGATTTTCTGCTAAACGACTAAACGGATTTTGATGAAATATGCATTCAAATGTTTAGAAAAACGATGTCGTTTATGAAACAATCTTTCCTTTGCATAAGTCGTACCCTAAAGTTAAAATCAAATTTAATTATATATAGGCAGCCAGGGCTGCCGTATACATATATTATTCGCTTGGTACATATATGTAAATAATAGAAAAAGAGGGTTTTCTCCTGAACGACTGAACGGAATTTGATAAAGCACCTACCAAATTGCTTAGAATGACAAGGTCGTTTATTGGGCATTCATAATTAATACAATTGTTCAAATTGTCAATATAAATATTTTCTGGCGGGAGGCGTATCGATAGGGAGTGGGACGCGCTCCTATCGATATGCGCCAGTGTTAATTAATTGGGGTCAGAAATATAAACACCTGATTTTCTCAAAATCTGTCGGGTAGAATTCAATAAGATTTAATTCGAAATTAGAGAAAAATGCCCCCTTTCGTTTGATATACCGTGCATGTTGGCACAAATTCGTTGAACATTGCAAAATTATTTTTTCAAATTTAGCGCCGAACTTAGATGGTGTTAGTTACCAGGGGTGCATAGTAATACCAAGGTATTTACAACAATAATTAAAAATTCGGGTAATAGCTAATTTCTCCCAAAAGACTGGACGAATTTTGATGAAACACCTACCAAATTTCTTACAATGGCGGTATCGTTTATTGGGCAGTTAATTTATTTAATATTAAGTTCCATAAATTGCTAATGTTCTGAAATCTAGTATTTCTTTAACATGGTTCCGCTGTCTGGTTCGGCAACTGGTTCTCTGCAGGTTCACAGCTGGTTCCATTTTCAAAGTTAGCGCCTCTGTTATCAGCCCACCTACACCACCCACTGCTATGCGATTTTCTCAAAAACTGACGGATAGAATCTTATGAAACTTTTACCAAATATTCTTTAAACTTCCCTTAATAAGCCAGTATACCGTGCATATTGGCACAAATTCGTTAACTGGAGTTATAGGAGTTACAATTTTTCCTGCCTCATTTTGTATGGAGCGAAACCCGAGGTTAGTTTACTGTTACGCAATTTTCTCAAAAACTTATGGATAGATTTTAATGAAACTTTGCAGGGTGGAAGTACAATAAATGTCCTTTATCCTGGCATACCGGGTATATCTGCACAATTTCGTTGAGCCGAGCTATAAACAAAATTGCGAAAACACGATTTTTCGAATGCTTTTTTTAATAGACCGAAAGGTTAAATCCCCTCAAACCCAGTAAAAATCAATAGTAAATTCATTTTTAAGCATTTATAAACTTTATTTTGTTCAAATTAGTGCCTTATTAACGAAATAAATTAAAAGTAAAAAATCCCTCAGTGTTCCATTTTCCCACCGTTCCATTTCGACGCTAACTCACCGACGCTAATTTGACGGACATAGTGTGGCCAGCTCATGTCGAGGGAATATCTGAAGGTGGTCAGTATTTTGGACTATATACAGCTGGTCACATTAGATATTTATTGAAAACCTCAGTATAAATATTGAAAACTATGCGAGCACAAAAAGATTTATTCTTCTGACTCGATAAACCATTTGCTTTTTGTTCTCTCCCGCTTTAAAACACTTTTTGTCTCTGTCTTCATGTACTTCAACAAAATCATTTAAACCGTTTCCCGTACATCTGGTAACACTGCTTTTAGCCTGGACTGAAACCACGCTCACTTGGCGGGTTGTTTGAATTTCTAGAAAAGGCTCATTCTTATATTTCATATCTGCTCTCTCTTGGCAGCCTTGAATTAACTAAAAGGTGGAATCTCCTTGGGGAATATCCTTGACTCACCCCACAAGCACAAGATGAGCTCGATAAAAACGTTTAAAGAACTGCACATGTGTGTTACCAGCTGCCGCCCTTAACCCAACCCACCCCTTGTCCCTGGCCTAACCCCTCACCACCTGCTGCCTTTGACTGCATCCTGTGGGAATTTTTTCGGCGCTGCACATGAAAAGCGGCGTTTGAATAATAAAGAAAAGAACACACGGCCATGGCAAGGGGAAAAGTCAGCCAAGACGCAAAGGTGTGCATGGGGTAACCAACTTTTCGCTTTGAATATTTAAGTGGCGATGCCGTGGCATCCGAATAACCAGAAGGAAAGAGGAAAGCCAACCGCAGCTAACACAATTTTTCGGATATACCTCTTGCCGGCAGTCTTGCCTTGAATTGTGCGGAAATTTGATTTAATGTCTGCGATTGTGAGCCTTTCCACGAAGCTCAAAGTGATTGCGACGAGCCCTTATTTTCCGCAATGAAAATATGGGTCCGGAACGGTCACTGGCAGCTTGTTGTGGAAGACAAGGAAATTGGAGATTTCTTTTTAAAGGTTTTTGTAGTTATAAATATTTGGAGCAAGGTCTTTTTTATATGGGATATTGTTTACCGAATTTAGTCCTTCATTTTGTTCATATTTGAAATGAATTTGTAACTTATTTTTATTAATTTTTAATAGAAATTATGCCATAAATTTATTCTCATAGGGAGAAAGAATACCTTATTGACTTATTTAAATAAATTTAAACAGTTTTTCTGTGAAATAGGATATTTTCTACTCTTATTTGTTATTTTGTAATTATTATACAATTTACACAATTTTAAAAAATTGTAAGAAATTAAAAAAAAAGTTTAATTATGCCTCCTAATCCATGGTAATCTAGTCATGAAAAATTAAAACAATTATGATATTTTGCTTGCTGCTTAATTTCCCTAGGAAAATATGGGTTAGGCTTGGGTTCGGAAATATAAATAATAATTATAACATTTTTCACAAACTCCGCGTGGGCCAAGTGCAAGTTTCACAATTTACAAATTGCTTTTAAATGGGCTGTGAAAAAGTTTTAATGAGTTTTCCGCGCAGCAGCCCTACATCTAAGCACTGGGCCAAGCCACCCCCGCTTGTCAACGATTTCTGTTTATGCATTTTCATTTTCATTATCATTTTACTTTGTGTTCTTTTTATATATATATTTTTTTTTCGGCCAGCAACAGCACTGCCCTCTCGTTTTCCGCTTTCCATTTGTTATTAAGCGAGTATTTTCCGTTACTTTTCATTTCTTTTCTCACCATTTTTGTTGCTGCGAAAGTTTTCCCTGGCAGTGTCACAGTGGGCGGTGTACTATGGTCTGTGGGCGTGGCATTACATTGAAAATACTTCGAGGGGCGAGAGTCGCTTAATGAAATTATATCAATCGGGCAGATCAGCCACCCCCCGAAGGTCCGTGTGCCTGGCAGCTGGCAAATGACATTTGCTTTTTCCAATTGTTCATATTTTCATTAAGCGGCATTTGAATGTTTCTCCTTCCGGAATGTAACCTGCAATTGCTTTCACTTCGAATGGGATTCGTCCAGCCCCGCATTGCACGATTCCGTTTCTAATTTCGGTCTGGTCAAGACCAGGGCCCAGGAGCAAGTCTCACGTCAAATTAAATCAAGCTGTAATATAAAGAAAATTGAAGCCAAGTCCCCTTTGTGCCATAAAGCACCGAGAGCGAAGGAGCTTGGGTATTCAATGGGTGGGGGTGTAGGAATGGAGCTGGAGCTGGAGCTGGCCTTGCGGGGCGGCAGGGGGTTGAGGATTGCGGGTAAAGTGGGCAGCTGATTGGCAATATAACACCAAAGAACGTCTGGTTTCTTAGCGGAATTTAACCCGTGTGCTTATAAAGTGGTTTCTAAAATATAAATCAGGGGAAAAACCTTGTTAATAATATTTTGTATCATAGTTTTGGATATCTTTTCAAGGTATTTAAAATCTCTATGATATCCTTGCAGCCCTAATACAATTTTCGAGAGGTCTCTGCCATACAACCTGACATACTATACTCTCATTTTCCCAAATGACGTTCCACTTTGTCCCTAATTCAGGCCCAAAAGCAGCACCATGATTAAATCATTGCCCTCTGACATGATTAAATGATCCATTGTATATGTACATATGGAACAAAAGAAAGAAAACAGTTTCCAAAAGCCAGTTGTAATTGCCAGTAAATAATTTCGACCTGGCGAATGGCAACTGCACTGGCCTCATAAATACCACCGCCAACTAACCGTTCCAATTTATAGTCAACACTTAATCTAAGCTGTCAATGTGGATGCAACAGCAGTTAGTAGTGGCGAACAACTAGTATCGGTAATTGGCGGGGATTACGACAAAACGTAAAAGTGCAGAACGCGGCACGTGAATGCGGAAGTTGTGCTCGGAATTGGCCAAAGTGAAGAAGTCGTAAAGTTTTAGTTGCATTCTGCCGTCTTCGCCTTCGAATTGGACGCTTAATTTATGTTTCAATTCCAATTAGCCAACGAGGCGCGGGCTTTTATGCTACTTTTCTTTCTTTTCGCTGTCAAGTGCACTGAGAATAAATAGTGGTATTGAAATGTATAGATTTTAATATAAGTTTTATTTGAAATTTAAGTAAATAATAATTGGTTAGCTGAATAAAAGATAAATTATGGTTATTTTTATGGGTATTTCAAGCCTAAAAAGAAACGTATCTTAAGCCTTGAAAGGTTTAATGAAGACTTTGAAGGTTTCAACCATAGCGAAATATATTTGTAATAATCTTAAGTACCTTTAAATTGTATATAAAAAATATTTAAAAATTATATCCCCATATTTATTCGCCGTGTACCTTGGTAATTGACTTTCGGCCTGGCCCTGACGCGTCATTTGTAATTGTATATTGGCACGAGGAGCGCAGGGCGAAGAGCGGTCTACTGTTAAGCAGCGTTTATTAGCCATGGCCAAATGCAGCTAATTGAAGTTCAAATTGCGTTGGCGCACGAGCTGAAGCGGCAGGAAACCGTTGAAATGTAAGCACTCACATGTGAGTCCTGTCGGTTCAATAAAACGTTAACTTGAGTCAGACGACAAAGCAGACGTAAACGAAGACGAATCCACTTAAGAGCCAACAAAAAACGAAAAAGAAAAATGAAGCAAAAGTAATGCGAAAGCCAATTCAACTCTCAAACACAATCAGCAAAGAAAAGCAGAGCCGAGAGCTGGGGAAATAAAATCAAGCATAAATGCAATAATACAATTTATGTGCCAAATTTCATAAGGACCATAATGGACACACACGGACCCACACTCGTTCTCTCTGATCCTTAATCCCCACAATAAAGATACGTATCGAGTGGAACCAACAAAGGAGACTTTCTCAACTTCTTGGCCCTGCAATCGATGTAATCGTAATCACATTCGGCACCGATGTCGATGCTATTCGCTATTTGCGAGCGTGTGTGTGTGTGTGTCACTTTCCCAGGATTTCCCAGGCAACAATGTGCCCCAACACTTGCCAACCGGATGTCCGGTCAGTTCATCCATCTCTTTCGGCCTCTGTCTCTGTCTCGTTTGGCAAGTTAACAACATTTGCTTGACGTTTGCCAATTGCATTATGACTCAATTGCGAGCTGAACGATTTTATGGACGAGCAGCAGGACCAAAGAGAGGCATTCGCATCAATAAAGCAACTTCAGTTGTAGCTTCAAGTCGAGTGTCGAACCATTGAGAAAGAAGAGGAAACGGAAATGGGGAACTTTAGAGGAGAACTTGCCATTCTGTAACTATGTTTAGTTTGTCTAGGTTACACTCTTAAAGGGGTTGTTGTTGCCTTTGTAAACTTTAAAGATAATTAATAATAAAAAACAACAGCAGATGTTATCTTTATAAAATAATACAAGTTATTTAATTATTTATAATTGAAAGTACACTTTTCATATAACATATTATTTTATTAAATTAAAGGCATTAATATTCAGCAATAATCATCAAATATTTCACTCTTTTCAACTCCAAAAACACTGCTGACAGTGTTGTGGATGGCATGACTCTTGATGCTTCATTGTCATCACCGTTGATCCATGAAGATGCAAAGTCCCCACACTTACCTGAATACATTTACGGGGCAGAGAAACACTCGAATCGCGAAAGGCTTGAGCGACAGACGGAGGAGCAAATGCATTAACAATTTGGCTGCCCCGTTAATGCATCTCCGATGGGCCATAAATTGCGCTGGCCGTAATATGTTTGGGCCACTTGATGGCACTTCAGCGCTGGCCTGTAAGTTGCCATCACCAACTGAGCCACATCCGTGGAATTTGGAGCAAGTGCGGCAAGTGCAGAGACCTCAGCTGAGGCCGGTGCCAGGTAACATAGTCAACACAGGCTACGTAGGGTTATGCAATGAATAGGCCGGGTCTTGGGCACTTTTAAGTGGGTCGACGACACGCCCTTCTCCAGATCCGATCCGATCCGATCCGACTGGCTGTCACTTGTAGCCGGGCAATTGTAAATTGATTTGCCACGATCGCGGGTTAGAGAAATGGATTTCTGAAAGTCACGCAAAGCCAGCCAAAAACCGAAACTCGAAACACGTTTGCGGAGCTCGGTTTGCTGCCGATTATGAGTAATTGGCATTGCGGTGGTCAGGTCTTCTATATATGGCCCGCCATCTGAGTCAGCCAGCACAGTTGCTTCACTTGCTCTACACAGTACCGACCTCGACATGGCCCACTTCCAGATCCTAGGCGTTGCCTCCACTCTGCTGCTCCTGCTGGCTCCAACCTGGGCGGGAATTATTGCCCCGGCGGGCATCAGTTATGGCTACACTGGCGATGAGCACGCGGTGGCCCACACGCAGTCGAATGTGGTGCGCAGCTTCGATGGCACCGTCTCTCACTATGCCAAGTCCGTGGCCACGCCCTTCTCCCAGGTGCACAAGCAGGATACGAGGATCAGCAACAATGTCTACCAGCCGGCGGTGGCCAAGACCATAAGCTATGCCCCAGCTCCTGTTCCAGTTTCGATTCCAGCTCCTGTCTACACACAGCACTCCCAGCCAGAGCCAGCTCATCTGTTCACCCAGGCAGCAGCTCCAGTATACCACCAGGCTGCTCCTGTCCACACTCCGGTGACTTATCATCAGCCTGCTCAGGTCCAGACTTACCATCAGCCTGCTCAGGTGCAGACTTATCATCAGCCCGCTCATGTTCAGGCTCCGGCGGTCTACCACCAAACTGCCCACGTGGAGAGTCCCTCTGTGTATCACCAGCCTGCCCACCTCAGCCACCAGCCCGCTGTCATCCACTATTCCCCAGCGGAGACAGTGTCCCATATGAGCTTCGATGGCTTCGGCACTCACTACGGTTTCTAAGGAGTCCCAGCTCTAGTTGTTAACTATGTTTTGTATTTAAAACTGAGTATAAAATAAATGAAAAGTGTTTAATTAATCAACAGACTTAAAGAATAATTTTCAAAGAGAAAGGAATTTACAAGACCAAAGGACTTTAATGTTTCCCAAACTCATATTATTCTCTACCAGATTTTAGGAAAACAAATTCTCACATCATTAGTCGCCCCATTATGGGAAACATTACCCGGCCTGAAGTACTTACACATAATTCAAGTTATCCCATCGCAAATCGTGTCCTTTTCAAAGCACTTGGGCCAGGCCTTCAATCCTTTGGATCCTTGTAATGCCTGCGGTTCACTCGCCGCTTATCACTCACGTTCGCAGGCAGCGTAAACAAATCATAAAAATCCACAGAAAGTGCACACTACAAATAGCCTGAAGCAGGACATTAGCTGTGGTCCTTGCTCGGGTCCGTGATCCCAGGATATTCCGAGAAAAGGGGAAAGGGACGCGGAAGGGGCTACGTGATTTGTGCAGCGCAAACTTAAAAATCGGACATGGGAGCTACGTGACTCGCATGGCAATCCCAAGGAGCCCAAGAGCAGGGCTGGGCAGGACATTGGCAAGGATGCCGCCGCCATCAACTGGCGTGGCTTATGAGCTAATAAGATTTTCCCCATCCGCATCCCCATCCTCGTAAATTATGCACATTGACAACTGCGTTCGAGTGGCGTAATCGGAAAATTGAAATCAAATTTTTGCAGCCTCATTAATTTTGCAAAAGCCAAGAAAAATCTGAAGCCGAAGGAGGACACTGGTAAGCTCTCAATCGGCCAGAGTCAATAATCAATTTGTGTCCGGACCCTTTTTTTTCTCTTAGTTCTCGAAATGATAGCTTCATTAGCTGGCCATCAGAGTAATGGCCAAAATGATTACCAGGAATAGGGCCAGCAACTTTTCTGAAGAACGAACTCCGAGGGAAAATGGAAAAAGTGAGCAAGAGGCCACAATTTGCAAAATGAAGCCATAAACTCCGCTTAAATGCAAAAGTCTGGAATCCTGGAGGGAGGGGCCCTAGCTCCATCTCATCCTTTTTTTTCGGGAAACCTCTTCTGTCCGCCTCTTGAGCGCTGAAAGGCGCAATGATAAAATATTTTCCCAGCCAAGGCAAGTAAATTTGTTGGCTAAAAAGTTGAAACAGCTAACAAAAAGCGAGTGAGAGAGGGAGAGGAAGACGAAGAAAGGCCGAGCCGTCAGTTGTTGTTTTTATTTAGCTGTTTGCGGCTAAAGTTTACTCCCAACCCCCGGCATCCATCCTGGCAGGACATCGTCCACAGGCAAGTTGGCAAAATAAAAATGCAAAATTGCCCAGTAAGACGTATTTATCAACATAATTACATTTTTTTAATGGCCTTTTAAACCGCAAAATGGCAAAGCCACAGAGCAAGATAAAGTCCTAGTGCAGGAATGCCAGAAATGCTGAAAACTTGTTTAACATTCTTTACTTTCTTTACTTTTGCCTTGGTCTTCCTGAAGATTAACTCAATGGTAAGGGCCTTAATCAAAGTTTTTTTTTTATTTTAATATTGAAGGTCATTTCCCTGCTTTTTGTTATTAACACTCAAGAATATTATTCAACAGAGCTTAGTTCGATAATCAAAGTAATTTTTTCTTCGTCATAATATTATTCACTGGGCATTTTGTAACTATAAAAAGGTTTGCTTTCTTCAGAAAAAATGCTATTTGCAGCGTGCCTGTTTCGACTTAAGTTTAAGCATAAATCATTACGCATGTTTTATCGCCCAAGGAAAAGCTATAAAAACTGAGCAATAACTCCAAGACAAACTCAGTACAAAATGTGGCGGCCAGTTTTCTTGATCCTCGCAGTGGCGACTGCTCATGCCAGCATTCAGCCCAGTGAGCTGATGAGCAATGAGCTGAAATTGGATAAATATTATACGTACGCTGAAATGGAGTCATACCTGAGGAACCTGAGTAATGCCTTCAGAGATAAGATAACCCTTGAGGAGCTGGCAAAGACGGACGTGGACCACCTATCAGTTTACAAGGTGAAAGTGTCCAATAATCAGATTGATGGGCCGAAGAAAGCAATCCTTTTGGATGCGGCCATCCATGGCAACGAGTGGATCACAACGACGGTGGCCCTGAAGGCGATTTATGAACTGGTGACGGGAAAAAACAATTTCTTGGAGAAGAGCGACTGGTACATCCTGCCCATGGTTAATCCCGATGGATATGAGTATACGTTGCCTAAGAAGAACGACAAATGGATGAAGAATCGCAAACCGAATGAAGGGGGTGAAATTGGTGTCAACCTAAACCGCAACTTTGACTTCAACTGGGATAAAACGAAGGATCGCTCAAATATGTCCTGGAGCGAAAACTATCGCGGAAGCAAGCCCCTCAGTGAGCCCGAGTCCTTGGCCCTTGCGAATCTAATGAAAGAACTGACAAAGTCTAACAAGGAGGTCATTTACATATCTCTGCACACTGAGCACCAGTCTTCCATCTTCTATCCATCTGTCTTCGAAGGGTATGTAACACATATATTTCCCTTGGAAACTGTAAACTTATTAAATAATCTTCATCTAGGAAACCTACGAAAAATAATGCCTCACTCGCCTGGCTAGCTCAGTACGCCAGTGAAAAAATATTCAATGAAACAAGGTCAAAATATACTCACGGCGTGCCAGTGACATACAAGGGAACTGGTGGAACGAGCTTGGATTACGCCTACGATCTCGGAATTTCCATGGCTTTTGACCTCGAGTTTGGCCAGGAAAAATCCGATGACCAGAGTTTGGACAGCTTCATCAGCAATCGCGCAAATGAGGGCTGGTCAGGAGTATACCATTTGGCTGAGGGAGCCTTCTTGAAAATCAAAAATGGTATAATAGAACATGACTGCGATTGCAATGAGGACGAAGACGACGCTTACATTGCTCCTCCGGGTTCCAATTCACCAACAGATGATTCTGATGACGATAACGATGACTGTAGCTGCAAACCCGATAAGAAAAAGGCCTCGTCAGCCGGGGAAAATGTTCCGTTCATCGGTATTTTCAGTACACTCCTTCTCTATGTCTCCTACACGATTCTAAACTAAAACAACACTTTTCTGGGTGTTACTTGAAATGCATATTATTTATTTGTTAATTGTAAACTTTAAATAAATAAATGCATATTGACATGAATTAGTAATTGATATTGAAATGGAAAGCATCCCACAATCTATATACTATATATAGTAAATTAAAACAGATCACGCAAGCAGAGAGGTTTCGGATTAAGAGAAATAATTATTCACAGGGAAACCACTCTCTTATTGTTGTTGTGGACTCTTTATAATTAAACGCTCTGATTCAATTTCAATTAAATAATACATAAATAAATAGTACATTGGCAGATTACTTGCGAATTTTGAGCTATTATCGGCGAGGTTTAACATTCAAGTTCTTGGAATTTGGCTGGATGCTTCAACAGAATCCTACTGAGAATGCGAAAGGGAAACCATTTATCGGAATATTTAAATATACTTTAATCAATTTATTTTACGAATTGATATTTAAATTATTTTTAAATTATTTTCCTAATCACTCATTCCTAATAATTATTTTTTTGTTACTTCAAAGAAAGCAATTTCTAATTGAAATTATTTGAAAAAACTTTAAGAAAAAGAATTGCAATGGAAAAAGTCATAATTAAATTATAAATATACATACAACAATATTCAGATTGTTATAAAATATCTAATAAAAATAAACTACATACGAAGAAAATATGTATTTATTTATTTAAATATATTGCGATGAGTGTGTATTTCATGGAAATCAATTATATATGTATGTACTTATATAGCATTATCTCTTAGGCCCATTCTGAATCGCTAGTCAAGCGTGGCCAGGGTATCTGCCGCTTCCAATCCACGGGAAAAAATCCGCCGATATGCCATCTCCCGAAGCTATATATAGACGTGACTCGATCGGCCGTCGTCAGTGATCAAACAATTGGCTCTCCGGCGAGATGTGGAAAGCTCTGCACGCAATCATCTGGCTCGCGGCGATAGCGGGTCCGCTGGCTGAGGTGGAAGCGAGGGTCTCGCGCCGGCAAGTCCGCCATCGGAGTCCGCCCCATTTAGGGTTGGATAAATATATGAGCTACGAGGACATTATGCAGTACCTGGAACAACTATCACGGGTCTATAGCGATCGCCTGGAGCTGCATGACGTAGGGCGAACCTTTGAGAAACGTGAACTGAGAATCGCCAAGATAAGCAACGGTATCGAACCGTCGAGGAAGAAGGTGATCTTCATGGACGCCGCTCTCCATGCCCGGGAATGGACAACGCCGATCACCGCCCTCTACGTCATCCATCAGCTTGTGGTGGAGTCCAGAGAAAATGCCTATTTGCTGGCCAACACAGACTGGATCATCCTGCCGCTGGCCAATCCGGATGGCTATGAGTACTCCCGGAACACGAACTATTGGTGGCGCAACACGAGGACGCCCAATACGAATAACTGCTATGGCACAAATCTAAACAGGAACTTCGGCCTAGGGTGGGGAGAGGGTCTTCCGATTTTCAGGGATCCCTGCAACGAGAACTATGCGGGCACGGGACCATTCTCCGAAGTGGAGGCTCGTGTTGTGCGCGACATTATGCATAAACTGGTGGACGAAAAGGTCGGATTCATGTACCTCTCCCTGCACACGGCCAACCGATCGATCTTCTATCCCTGGGTCAATGAGCCGTAAGTTGCAATCTATTCCGAGAAAAGTAATGCAAAAAATTCATTGGAATCATTAATATATTAAGCTCTCCCGCCGCAGATAAGAGTATTCTTAATGATTCAAATGAAATATTAAAAAAATACATAAATCATAATAGCATTTTGAGCAATCAAAAACGAGAGATCATGTCACCACCGATAAGAGTACAAACTAAATATATATATAACATTTTAAATTATTCCATTCCTGCAGCTCTCCGATTCACAACAACCACGAGCATGAGGAGATTGCCCAGTACGCCGCCCAGAAAATACTCTGGAGCACTGGGACGATCATCAAGCCCAGTCAGGGATACAAGTACGGTGGAAGAATTGGCGGCACTAGCGTAGACTACGCCTTCTATATGGGCTTTCCGCTGTCCTTTGTCTTCGAGATGTCAGGAATGGGCAAAAACGGAGTCGAGTATAGGTTCTACCCACCGGAACAGTACATCCGCCCCCTCGTTCAAGAATCCTGGATAGGCATCGAAGCGATGGTCAAAAAGGCCATTGAAAAATATCCGTCTTCCAGGCCATTACACATTCCCGTAAACCACAAAGATGCCGTAAATGCGGCTCCATCAAATCGGGGCTTCTTCGGCAATATATATGAAAAATTCACGAGCATTTTTGATTGATTGATTGACTTTGAAAGACTTGGATACTACTCTAAACATAATGTAAATATAATAAAAAAAAAAAACAAATCAAGAAAGCATTCTGGATTGAATCTGTTTCTAAACCAACCTTCAAGCCTCGTCTAACCATATTTGAAGAGTGTGAAAATAAGCGAGATTGAGATAATATATATAGAGATTTATACTGCATTTTTAAATTTATATAATCAACATGTTTTACACGACTACTGTACATCATTGTTATATATCTGAAATATTCTTGAACCTGGCTTATGTTTTATAGAACATTAAAAGTACAAATTCTATATATCTGCTTAAATTTTTGATTATTCTCGAGCTTACTCTCTCGCAAAGACATTCTCTTGAGGTCTTTAAATTATTTTTAATATCCATCTTCTCTTCCCCATCATCATCACCATTCACTCGCCAGCACTCTCTCCTCTTGCGTTACGCATACGCCTCGTTGTCCGCGTGCTCGCCCAGGCTATCAACGTGACTTGCCTGTTTGTTGGCTGCGGAAAAAAGGGATGAGGAGGGGTTTTTGTGGAGACTCAAAAGGGGGAACCGGCATATCACTCGCGTCGTCCGATACATTTCACATGCTGCAATTAACGCAACAAATTGCATTTTTAATATGCAAAATTAATGTCGAAAATCTTTCTGTGAAGCAGCAGACGCTGAAACGAAAATGGCACGAGATACTCCGTTTGCGAGCATTTTATTTATAACAGTCATTGTGAAAATTGAAAATCCACATTCGGTCTACAATTAAAAACACTTTTCGCCGGCATCTGCATACGTTCATATATACAGCATGTATACTCTAGTGGATACTGCGTATATTTTAAAATAATAATAAAATGCCATTACAAAGTCAAAGTTGCTCGGCCCAGGAAGCCGCTGTTAATTAGTTTTTCGAAGGCAGCTGACTGACTGAGTTCAGGTTCAGCCATCTAGCCATCCATCTAGCCATCCATTCAGCTCCTGGTCGGGGTGCTGGGTCAAATGTTTTAATTTCCGCACGAATGTCTCTGGCGGAAATTACTCGGAAAAAAAAGTCCACGACCCGAGGGACAGTGTCAATGGGCCCCGCTTTGGGCTGAGAATAATTAGCAGAAGGCCAGCACAGAAGAGTATTTAAGCTAACAGACTGCTTAAACTACCAGATTAGCGCAATTATTGCGCCATGCAATGCGAGTTACATTTGAGTCGGAATCCGAATCGGACTCCGATTAGATACACGATCGCCTGAGTCGCTCGCCGTGCCCGAACTGCTCGGCTTGGCCAGTTTTGTCCGGCGATTCAGTTTCAGAGTGCGAAATGCTGTTGTTTCTGCTGGTCGTGTTGTTGCTCTCCGCTGGCTGGCTCGTCCATCTCAGCCAGGCGGAGCGTCGCCGGAAGGTGGCCAACCTGCCAGGACCCGTGTGTCCGCCCTTCTTTGGGGCCCTACATCTCATGTTCCGATTGAGCCCGAAGAGTGAGTAATAGGGATAAGATAAGGGAATAAATTAATAAACTAAATTTATAAAAATAAGTTTTACAAAAATGTAAAGAATTTACAAAGATTTCAAGATATTGAAAAGAGAATTGAATGAACATTAATTTAGTTAAAAGGTTAAGTTCATAATTTAATAAATAAAAAATAAAACTAAAGATTCATTATAAGTCTCATAGAAATATGTTAAATTGAAAACTAGTGTTAATAATATATACATTTAAGTACCTTAATTTAAAGTTGCAATTAATTTTTAGACCTATCAAACAAATTTATATAGATTTTTAGGAACATAATATTAAAACACTTAAAAGATAAATACTATATAATTCCAGCTATTTAGTGAAATCATTTAGGCCGACGATCCGAGCGGAAAAGAATAATTAATGAAGCCTTATCAAAATAGAATTGAGTTCGATTAGGGACACGTTCCGCATTCATAAGAATTTAATTGCGACTCTTGTAAAACAGAGATAATCTCAATAAAGCCTTGTAATCAAAGAATAAAGACAGTTTAAGCTCCAAACGTTCGCATTAAAGCTACAGTGAATATTCAATAAGTGACCTACAATAATTAATTAAACAAATAAACAAAGATTAATGCAAAATAGTGCATTTACTTTATATAAAAATAAAATACTTGCTCAACGATGTAAAACATTTTAAATAATATAATTGGCTCTCCGTTGAGTCAACTTTTACAGCTCTGTGTTTACGCTACTGATAAGCCAGTTTTTAATGCATTTTTCTCTTGCAATTCTCTGCTATGAAAAAAAAAATCATAAATTAAAAGTGGAACTTACTCTTTATTGCTCTCTTTTGAGCAAGTTTCTCGTGCATAAAACTCGTTTCATTCATAATTTACAAGTCTTATTTGTATTTTTTTTATTACTTGTAACTTGTTTTTTCAAAGTCAGACTTAATAATACATTATTTTATAATACACTTGTAGGTGGTAGGTGGGTAAAGTAACCAAGAATTTAAGCCAATGGTTAAATGATTTATTTGATTATTATCCCTGTTCACGGGGGGCCCAAACTACTTTAGATTAGCACTGTTAGAGCCAGTAAAATGAGTAAACAACTTTCCTGATAATTTTAAAATACTCAATCTCAAGCTAATAATACTTGTAGGCTTATTTCGAACAAACATTTATTAAAGATTAAGGTTAAGATTAAGGAATCTCTTGTACAATCGCAAAGCCATTTATGAATGACCATAACAACGCATTGGGTGCTTATCAATAAGCATTTTTTCTACATAGAGAAAAATAAAGAGAATTAAAATGTGTGTAAAAAATAAAATTAAAAAAACATATATTTATATATTTTAAAATAATTATTTAAAAGTATTTGGTATTAAAAGTATAGTTTCAAATTATTTAAACAATTTAATATAAAAGAATTTACATATCAATATTTTAAATATTAGATTATTAAATATTATAAATATATGTTCTAAATTAAATAAAATTATAAATAGAATGTTTAAACAATATAAAAAGCACATCTTTCTAATCTTTTACAATAATAGCTTACCCCTTAATTACTGATAACTCTCTTAATCGCCTTTAGCCTTTCTGAAACTGGGTCGGGAGTACATAAGCCAATACGGGCCCCTTCAGCGCGTTTGGGTCTTTAACCGCCTGCTGATATTAAGCGGTGACGCGGAGCTAAACGAGCAACTCTTGAGCAGCCAGGAGCACCTGGTGAAGCATCCGGTCTACCGTGTCCTGGGCCAGTGGCTGGGTAACGGTTTGCTGCTTAGCGATGGCAAGACATGGCACCAGCGCCGCAAGATCATAACGCCAACCTTCCACTTTTCGATTCTGGAACAGTTTGTGGAGGTCTTTGACCAGCAGTCCAATATTTGCGTTAAGCGCCTGGCTTCGAAAGCCAATGGGGAGACCTTCGATGTCTACCGTTATGTATGCGCCGCAACGCTGGACATAATCGCAGAAACAGCCATGGGAACCAAGATACATGCTCAGGCCAACGAGAGCACTCCTTATGCGGAGGCTGTTAAAGAGTGAGTATTAATATATTTAAGAGAAACTTAAAAAATGATTCAATTTTGATTATATTACAGTCATAATTTAATTGGTTTTGAACTGCTTAAAGATTCCTGATTAAAGTTCTTGCCAAAGATAAGCCTGCATTCATAAAAAGTTGCTGAAGCTCTTGAAGAAATTTAACAAAATTATTAGTCGACTTTTGTGCTACATTTTTATACACAAAATTAACAGAATTTGATTAAAGTATTTGATAACAATATTTTAAATGTATATTTCAGATGCACTGCCCTGCTGAGCTGGCGCTTCATGTCCGTCTACCTCCAGATTGAGCTACTCTTCGCACTGACCCATCCGCACCTGAAGTGGCGCCAGACGAAGCTCATCCGCACCATGCATGCCTTTACCATCAAGGTGATCGAACAGCGTCGCCAGGCACTTGAGGAGCAGCAAAAGAAGTCCGGATCTGATATAGTAGAAGACGACGTGGGTTCCAAGCGGCGCATGGCCCTGCTGGATGTCCTCCTTATGGCCACCGTGGATGGAAAGCCACTGACCAATGACGAGATCCGCGAGGAAGTGGATACCTTTATGTTCGAGGGTCACGACACCACCACCAGTGCCCTCTCCTTCTGCCTGCACGAGCTGTCGCGTCATCCACAGGTGCAGGAGAAAATGCTGGAAGAGATCCTGCGAGTGTTGGGCAATGATCGCAGCCGACCCATTACAATTCGGGATCTTGGCGAGCTGAAGTACATAGAGTGCGTCATCAAGGAGTCGCTGAGGATGTATCCACCCGTTCCGATTGTGGGACGCAAATTGGAAAAGGACTTTAAATACAGTAGGTGTCGTAGGGAAATGGGGATTTTTAGTCTTTCTTTTTATACATTTTTTTTTTTAATTTTTCCAGCCAACTCTACTTACGGAGATGGAGTACTACCAGCCGGCTCAGAGTTCTTAATCGGAATCTATGCCATCCAGCGGCACCCGGCCACCTACACCAATCCGGATCAGTTTATTCCCGAGCGGCATGAGGATGGAAAGCGTGTGGCTCCCTTTGAGTATATTCCCTTTAGCGCCGGACCGAGGAACTGCATTGGCCAAAAGTTTGCCCAACTGGAGATCAAGATGATGCTGGCCAAGATCGTGCGAGAGTACGAGCTCCTGCCGCGAGGCGAGCGTGTTGAGTGCGTTGTAAATATTGTCCTGCGATCGGATACTGGCTTTAAGTTGGGAATGCGCAGGCGCAACAATATATAAGTTTAAGTTTTAAAGGGTTTTAAGGGGGAAGCGTAGACTTTCTGCATATATCATTATCTTAGGCGCACAAGAATATGTACTAGAGTTAAGTTCTCAATAATATATATTTTCATATTTTTACTTATCTTTACTATAACATTTTAATAAAGCAACTTAATAAGCTTAAACTATACAAATCACTAATTGCTAACGCGGCTTCAAAGCCAACTGGAAACCATTGGATGAACCCAGGACCAGTCGCAAATCCAAGCGGAGTTCATCGCCATAGGGTAAAAGCTCAAAATTTGTGAGAATGGTTGCCAACAGGATTTTCATTAACTTAAGACTAAACTTCCTGGCAGGACAGCTGCGAGGACCCAGGCTATAGCTAAGAAGCTCCGGAGGAGAGTCCATAAAACGATCGCCTTGGAAGTGATTAGCTTTGGCATAGCGACTCTCATTTCGTTGCAGTTTGTACAGATTAATGTAGATTTCAGAGCCAAAGGGTAGATCGGCATCGCCCACAACACTGTGTGCTGTTAAATAGACAAAAAAATTAATACATTTAATTAAATAAAATTATATTATTTAAAATAAAATAAAGTTATCATGCAAACTTACTGTAGGAAAAGTCTTGTTTCAACTGACGGCCAACTATCACTTGTGGCGGATAAAGTCTCAGTGTTTCCTGAACCACAGCCTCTAGATATGGTAGCTTTTCCAGATTCCAAACCTGATCCTTAATCTGAGCCTGTCTAAGCTCCTCCAAACAACGTTGTTGCACCGAAGGATTCCTGGCAATGGAAACCAAAGCAAAGCTGAGAGCTGAACTGCACAGCAGAAAGCCTAAATAATTGCAGGTGTTTAGTTCCGCACAGATTTCTTGATCCGTTAGCTCCTGATCTTGGTTTTCGAGGAGAATCTGGAGGAGGGATTCATGCCACTTTGGAGGCAGTGGCTTCGATTGATCCACCACCAAGCCTTCGCTGATCTTAACCTTCGGCTGCTGCCCTTGGCGATATCTGTTAATCAGATCCTTGTGTTCCTCGTTCAGTCTTTTTATAAGTTTATTCTGACGTCTTCTCATAAAGGGAGAACTTAGCCAATAGTTAAAGCGGTTGGCAGACTGCAGGCTCAAAAAGCGTTTTCTATAGAGTTCTGTCAAACTTGAAAGGAATATAGAATCTTTAAAATAAGATTAAATATATATTTACTTATAAACTTACTCTAGGAAATTCTTGGCATAATCCTCACTGGGACTTACGCCGCAAGTTGTCCGCACTATGAGATCCAAGACCGAGGGAGAGACTATATCCCAGGCATTGAACTCACTTCCATCCGCTCGTTCTAGCAGTTTTTGCTGCAGTTGCTCTGCCTGCTGACGGCATAGCTCCACCAGCGAATCCATGTTCTCCTTCCGAAAGAGCCCACTGATTAGGCCATGTCGCTGCTGCCACTTATCCTGCTCACACATGAGTATGCCGCCACCAAGCCAGTCCCGCATTAGCTCATAGCCCGTCTCCAGATGCTTTTCGCTCTCTAAGAGCTGTCTGGCCAGCTCCAGATCCGCCAGAGGTATAAAGAGTCGATGGAAGACCCAGCAACGACTCAGAGATCCATATTTCTGGAGATATTCAGCGCTGCGCTTGAAGAAACCTTTGGGAATGGGGTTAGAAAATAATAGTAAAATTCTTATAAAATCACACACTTTTTGGCTGAAGAAAGACTAGCTTGTGCATCGATCCCAAGAGTGGCCAGGTGAAGGGTCCTTTGAGATTCCTGATCCGCGAGCGCTGCCTTCTCGTCCTGAAGTAATTAAAGGCCGAGGCCAGGCAGAAGCACACAAACGTAGTGGTCAAGATCATGGTTCCAACTGAGCCAAAAATTCGGCAATTGAAGACTGTTTAATGGCCGGTCGAGGGGCAACACTAATCTCCTGGGGGCCTTACATTTCTCAGATTCTTATCGGTGCCAAAGCCCCCATGTTTGGCCAAAAATAAGCCAAGCGATAGTCAAATCTGGGGCTAAGCTGAGATAAGTCAGCAGTAAAGTATTCTTTTTACCTATAAATGACGTATTGCTTGATATCAGTTGCTTATTTATGAATTTATTGAATTATAAAGATATTTATACAAATTTTTTATAAGGGAACAACGAATTTTAAAGATAACTTATATACAAATTCTTAAGGAGTTGTTTTGGATTAATGAAATAATTATATATTATGAATGGAAAAGCTGTAGATACTATGATTGATTAGATTTTAATAATAAATCTGTAGATTTATGATTTTTAATCGTTGTTTTTATTTTTATATAAATATATTTTTCCCTAAAAGAAAGAATTTGTGGTCAAATTCTGTATCCGCCACATGGGTTCCACAAAATGTTGCTTGTTGACTTGGCAACATGTTGCTAAACAGGCAAAGCCTGGAAGCTGTTACGGCATCGAAAATATTTTTAATAAAATCTTTCATTAAGTCTAGATAATAAATATTATATATGTAATTAAACTCTACCCAATTCCCTGTTAAAAATCTTTAATTGTCTCATTTTATCCTGTCCCTAATATTATTATATATAAATGTGTAGATGGAAGCCATTCTCCAACAAGTCAACTTGATTGGCCAAGAGCGGAGGCGGAATGGGATCCAGCAGATGTGTGTGCGCGCCATCTGTGAGATACACGAAGTCAGCTACAAGATACAAGATACTCGTGCGATACCCCTTGGCTGATAAATATTTAAAGACTCACCTAACATTTATGGGTACGAGATTTGAAACTATTAAGCAAACCAATTTGGGGCAATTGAGTGGGGAGGATATGGCCAGCGGGCATTATCCGGAATCCGAAATCCGGATCCACGGAGCAGCTGTTGTCCCCGGCAAGCAAACAAATCTTTTGTCTTTTACCAGAGCTGCGGTTACCGGGGTCACCGCTTCAAACTCATCCTCCACCACCATTGAGGGTTGGTCAACCCTTTCAGCTGTTGGACTGTCAAAAGTACATTTGCCTTGGTTACGCCACAGAAGTATCCCCGCAGCAAGTAATGACAATATCAGCAGGACCTTCTCCGCCTCCGCCTCCTCTTTTGCCTTGAAATTTGTATATTCTTGCCTTCGGGGAGTTGGAAAGTTGGGCAGCTAGAGGGGGCTGAGTAGCTGAGCTAAGAGTTTGTTGTGTTCCACTCTCATTTTGCGGCGTTGATGAAACTTTAATGACGCACAATACGCATTCAAGCCAAGCAGAACGGCCATGTGTCCAGTTTCTATCTTCACTTTGGTTGGTTTTTCTGCTGGCTACACTAGGAAAATAAATTTTAAAAAAATTTAGAAAGCTAATTCAAGCCACGAAGCAATATTTTTTATTTTTTCAAAATTTTAGATGTGGATTTTTAACTTGGAAATACATTTTTAAATTGAAATAAACTATACGAATTTGATCTAATTTGTGTCTCTAAGTTATATGTATTTTTTCTAGTGCTCTCTACTATTTTTCTGCACAATTTCATTTTAAGGCAGAACGTACAAAGCCGGCTAATGGCGGCTAATGAAGGCAGTTTTATTGGGGATTTTATGGGCCGTTGAACCCGGATCCGAGCATTCGCTGTCTCCTCAGTTGGCCATATCCTGAACCGAGTGTGCGAATGTATTTATGAGGTATTCATGCATTCATACGTCAATGTCACGGACAACTCCAAGAACTCTTCGGTCCGAGGTCCGGTGCAATGGCCACCAACATCAGACATATCCACTACCAACTCGCGTTTGCAAATGAACAAAAAAATTTTGATGACATCGTCGCCGGTGACAATGAAAACTAAGCACAGTACAAAGCCAGAAGTCCGAAAGAGAGAATGCTACGCAAAAACGGAAAACATCATGGGGAAAAAATTGGAGTACGACAAACGGTGGCAGGATACGAATCCTTTCACAGGCCTGCCGAATATGCGCTCCTGCGAAAAAGTTAAAACAAAGACATGGCAACAATTTACATTCCCATTGTTTGCCTCGGCTGCAGATACAAGTTAGCACAAAAAAAAAAGCGGCAGATAGTTAGATACAGACATGTGCAGGTGCAGTACGTTTCAGTAAGGGAAAATAAATATTTTTTATAAATATAATAAAAGAAAAATATAAAAAATATATCTTTATAGCATTTATTATACTCAATAGGTCGATGAAACCAAAGAATTTTGATGAAATAAAAGTTTCTAATAAAATAAATTAATAGAAAATAATATACTTATTTCAAAATTTAAAATTTTTTAATTTTCAAAATATCTATATCTTATTCGTCTTGAAACGCACTGTAAATTTTCCTATAAATTGCAAATGCTGTCGGTCAGCCGCCAAGTTAGAGCAAGAAGCGAGCCACAAATACTAGGAAGGCAGGGACAACAGGAGCCAAGGATATGTGCTGTAAGAACTAAAAGGACTGAGGACAGCAAAAAAATTGAATGCGGAAAAGAAAGAGAAGTTAGGCCACAACGAAATAATCAACAATATGCATAAAGTCAAGAAAGAAGAAAAAAGAGAACATAAAAAGGAAAATATTTAGAAAATATGTATATATCCTTGAGTGAAAAATATATATAAATCTTTACTGTAGAGTACCTACTAAGTCACATAAACCAAACTATTTCTCGCCATTGTGGGATGGCTGCATTGTTCTTGTTTTTCCTGCTGTCGTTGGCAACCGGAAGCATTTTGCATGAATTGCCCATAAAAGTGATATGCACATCAAGATTGTCCGATGTGAGTGTTGTGATAAGCGCGAAAATTTGCTTACTAGCTGGAAAAAACTTTAAGGTGAGGCATTCCTCACTCCTCCTCGCTCGCGGCTGCTAATCAAGACGAACGACACTTGGCTAGACATTTAATTTGGATACTGCAGCTAAAAGGTTGCCATCAGTCTCAGGCACGCCCTCCGCCCATTAACCAGCGGTTAACCAACCCTTAACCACAAGTTGCTAACCACCATCACCACCCCCTTACTACCCACCCATTAACCGTCACCCATTAGGCATCGCCCATTATGAGCTTGGAATTGAGGCGAAACTATGGGAGCACTGGAAGAAATAATTATGACAAGTTGGGAGGATCTATCTGTGATATATTCTACAGGTACTGACAGAGTTTATCACCTTTTCTCTCCGTGTAAAACCTCCACACACACTCGCATATTAATAGCCCCACATTCCTTTTCCTTGGTCCCCAGTCACGCCGCCATCTCCCAGATGTCATATGTCAGGCGTCTGTAATAATGCGAGCTGATGACTGCGTTATGATTACTGTCAGCGGCAGGCACTCAATGAATAAGCAGATGAGAGGGTGTCATCCTCCCCATCGTCCTTGTGGGGCTTATCACGCACTTTCCTCCTACGCTCACACCGGGACCACATATGACTTGAGGTGGCCCGCAGCGCCAACAACTTTGACTCGGCAACAATTTATCACGGCCAATTTAACCACTTAAGTGCGAAAAAGGTTTCAGCAGACTTCCCACACCGCACACGTAGAGTGTAATGAAATATTGAACGAGAGCTGCAACTGCAACTGCAACTGCAGGAAGGCAGTGACAACGAGCCAGCGGCCTGAATCTGTATCTGCATCTGAGTTGGAGTCTGGCCATCGCCACTGACCACTGAATGTATCTGCATCTGCATCCGTATCTGTTCTGCCAGCGGCATTTATTTGTTTACAATCTGTTTGGAGCAAAGCTGCCGCAGGGCTTAAAAATCTGCATTTGCATCTGGACACCAGTGGGGAATGTAAAGGTTTGAGGTCCTGGCACACAAGGACTAATTGAAAAAGACAGTAACCATAAGCGAGCACATTTCCATATGAAATTGTTTTAAATACAAAGCGTCACATTGACTTTTAATATTTTTTATATTGATGAATTGGTTTAATATGGAAAATATATAACAATTTATCATATCTACTGGATAAAGCCTCTTACATATATATTTTTTTTTAAATATTTATCATTTTAAAAGGGAAATAGCATAATACATGTTGATGTGTTAATTGCCTTTCTTGTGGCTGAAATGGGTTTAAAGCCAGAGCCACTCATGGAACATGGGTCCAAAGGGCTTAAACGTAAAGCTAAAGGGCCACTTCAGTTGAATGGCATCAAATCGGCTTTGGCCACACTCTCTTTCAGTCATTTTCCTCATACATATGTGGTGTAAAAGTGCAAATTCATGTTTTGTTTGACGAAATCTGTATAAATCTAAAGACCGAGAATGCCAGCAGTCAACTCAGCTCAGAGCTCTTGAACATCCGAGGGATTATGTAGGGAATTGGTGCGAGAGCAGGCGGTATTGGAAGCCATGTAAATGGATTACTGCGGGGCTTCTGGGTCAAATGGAATTAGCCGCCATTTCAGGGGAGGCTGTGCTGGTTCTTCGAAGGACCACGAAGACGCAAACACTTGTTGAGCGAACACACAATTTTCACACTCATTAAAAATTTGCATAATTATGCCAGCCTCCCTCCCGCTCATTACCACTTTAAGGCAGACAGGAGTCGGAACACGCAACACGGGGAGCTCAAGGACCCAGGACACTCATAACCAAACGAGCTTTTCATAAGGCCGCGAGAATGTTGAATTATAAATGCATGGAAATTAAAAGCAATTACATGAAACTCAACTCTCTCTCCTCCTCCGTGTAAAAGCAAATAAACTGCGCGTAATGATGCTAATCCCTTAAGCCACCAAACATTTCGATGGGAGAGAGAGCCTGGGAGGGCTGACAAAAAAAGGGCCATCAATTTGCATTGCGTTTGGCTCATTAGCGTCACTGCCACTGACCACTTGTAAATTTGGCCTGTCTATATGGAATATTCAGAAAATTTATGGCCTTGTTTCTGCGAGAGCATGGGTAGATATTTGACTTAAAAAATATTTTATTATTTTAAAGATTCGGTTTTATTTAAAATTGAACCCAGCTAAAAATCCCCGTTTATATTTATACTACATCTGTTCTGAATAATCCTCTTTCTGCGCCGATCTTCCCATTAATCTGGAATTTTGAGTTCTGTAATAAATAAATATTAAAAATAATCTCAAAATAATCATGATAAATCGCTTACCCTATATGTATAAGGATCGGAGCAATCCTTACATCCAAAAGAAAAAAAGAACCCATAGAGGAGAGCCATAGGCAGCTGAAATACCATATCGCATACCGTGACCATTATTATTATAGGGATCTCCTTCTGGCTTGTAAGAAAGTTGAGACTAGTATATATATCCAGAGAGTGAAAACGGATTTTTAAAAATATAATTCGGGCTCAAAATACTGATGATTTATGCTCAGTTTGTTTGTTTTTACTGTGACAGGGCTAGGAAAAATATTTCAGGCTGCTTAGATCTTAAAATTTAAACATTAAAGTGGTCTTAAGATAATTTTATTAAACATTTTATAAATTTTCACATATACAAAATTTAATTATAAATATTTTAGAGGCTTTGACCTTTAAATTTGTAACTCCTTTAGCCCACCTCGCTCGAAACCCTTGCCATTTACATTTTGACAAAATATTGCGGTTTCTGCCTGTTCAATGCTCCATAAGCTTGAATTACAGCGAAAAGCGGGAAAATATTTATTTAAAATATTTTCAATTGCTGACGTTTGCCAATATAAAGCGAATAATTAAATGTCAATAAAATTAAGCCAGATAAAATAGAGCAAATATTGTAAAAAAAGCTAATAAGTAAGAAAATCAACAGCTAAATCTTTTTAGAAAAGAAATTTAAATAGAAAATCAATGCATTCAAGTTTAAATTTAAATTTCTTGACATAAGACAACTCTCCTCTTCAAAACTTATTGGCCTTAAATCGCTGATTCTGCATTGAAAATTGCTGCCTCGCTAAGCCGGTAAGTCCAACAAGAAAAATCACTTTTCTCCCTCGAAACGAAAGACTGGGTGGTATTTTTTTGGGTGGTTGGGGAATTGCTTTCGATTTCTCGAACGTTTTCCCCGCTTAATATGCCAAACACAGTTTGACTTTTATTCAATATGCAAAAGATACGCGTCAATTTGTTGCCCGTCTGCTGAACTTTTTAATCTGGCTGAGATTCGTACTGCCTTCCTGGTGGTCGCTCCTCTTTAAATCCTCACCAGACTCCGCCGCTATTGACTCCTGAATGGTAAAGGATGTTGTGGCCAGATTTATGTTGGCAGTTTTACAGTTATTTTAAGCACCGCCTCCAAGGAAGGCGAACAAGAGCTACTTAAGTCCGTTCGCAGGAAACTTTTGCAACTATTAAAGTCTTAAGTAGAAGTGGATAAAAGGAAAGCTAACTGTAAATGCATTTCCACGAGAGCAGCAAGGATATCACGTTGCAATGGGAAACTTCGTCCTGCAGCGTACTTATGCGGCGGCCTGGCCAACACTTTCCGTTTGTTTGTCCGAGGACAAGGCAAAAAAAAAACTGACTTTAGCTCACATTATAAGGGGGGTTGGGTGTTTACTCCTGACTTGCCAGGTGTTTTTACCAGGTAAATGGGTAACAGGTTCAAGGATTTTGAAGATTTCTAGAAATCTCTATAATTTTAGGTATGCCTTTCAAAACCCCTCCCAAGACTTCTATCTCCTTTAAGCTTTACTTTTTTGACTTATGGCAAAAGCAAACGAAATGCCAAATGATTTTCCACCCACATTTTCCGATAATATGCACCCTCTTTAGCCTTAAATCAATGTTGACAAAAGTTTTATTGGATAAGTTTGTTTAACGACAAGCCAAAGTAGACGACGCACACAAAAGGGCAGGTAAAAAGGCAAAAACTTCTTGCCGTTTTTTGTTTGAAAAATCAAATTGAGCAAAAGTTGATCTCAAACAGGATGAAGCTAAAGGCAGGCCAAAGTTTTTCCAGCAAAAATCATTGGACGCGGCAAGTTTGCAATTTGATTTGTGTTCAATGTGCGCGCAATTGATTAGCCATTCTGCCAGAGATCATGAATGTCCTTACTCTGGATTCGAAAATTCTTATTGGCACTTGGCCTTATTCAGCAAATAGTTTACAGAAAAACATATAGATTTATAATATTTATAAAATATGTTATAATTTATAGTAAAGATTGGAGACATAAAAGCTAGTTGTTGTTAACTATATATTATATTATTGTATATTTAAAGATGCTTCAGTTAGTGTATACTTAATTATATTTTGTTTTTTAATCTATAATCTTGTAAGTATAATATAATTTATTAATTCAATTCAGAAATTATATAAAATATTTGTAATTTTTCGCTGTGCATTCACCTTAGAACCCCAGCCAGAGGCATCTGCTATCTTCATCTGCAAGTTTGTCCCACTAAAACAGTGCCACTCGAAGGACCAACAACTGTTGCAGGACTCACACTCCTTCCGCAATCCTTTCTCGCACACACACGAGAACACTTTGTGGTTTGGCAGCCGCAGACTCCTGCTGTTTAATATGCTGTTAAATTACATTAAAATTTGAAAAGAGCTGGCTGCCTGGCTGGCTGCCTGATAAGCGCATTACTACTCGACGAATGTGATCCGAAGGTTCTGAGCATCGAGGAAATTAATAACCAAAGTTGGCATGGCCTTCAATGTCAGGCGGCAGTAATTGCCTGGCAAATAATTTAATGCGAAATCATGGCAGGCCACGCCCCGGGGCCAGCAGAGCTTGTAGCGAATTTAAAATGCAATAACCGGATTAGATTGTGTTTCAGCCATATCGGCATGTCCTTTTTGGCCACCAGCTCTCTCTCTTTCTCTGTGGCTGTTGCATGTTACTCTGGTATTTATAGAGTTTTAACGCAATCGCAATTTCGGTTGACATTTTGCGCTCTCGGCCATTTCCCATTTCGCTACACTTTTCCGCCTGCCATTGTTGTGCGCCGTTGCTGCAGGCCATCGATAGACGTCTACAGGTGACTCTACTACCTGTGTCCTCTAAGCCTCCCAGTGGCCCCAACTCCCAAAAATTCACCCCCCAAACTGACTGTCTGGCTTATGAAAAATGCATTTTGTCTGTCGTCGCTGGTCCGTGAAGCGAATCTGCGGCAGTGTGGCTAATATCAGTTCATTTGGCTTTTGAATTCGTTAGTTGATGTCTATAGTTCACTACGGCAGGGGCCAATATCTGTTCATTTAAGTGGCTTAAATTAAATCGCCTTTATTGCCCACTAAACACACAATATCGGCTTTTATGTATGTCATATGTGTGGTGGTGAAAGTGGTTTAATTTTAGAAAATATATAATATATTTTTTTTACTTAATGCTTTAATAAAACATAAAATATAATTGAAAAGTAAGACCCAAGCTTAGGATGTTCAGAATTGCTAATGAAATCAAGTTGAGTGCTAATCAAAGCCTGATGCTTTTTTCTGTTTTCTTTTTGGGAGATTGCTAAAAAATCAAAACATCCCCTTTGGTGTCAAACAAGTATTAAGAATATAAATCTCATAATTTTTTTGTGAGCCTTCCATCAATCACAATTCTGACACTTGCAACACCTGTGGCTATGCCTTTTTTTTTGGCCGCAACATCCCTCTTGCCTTTTTTTTTTTGGGAGGGTATTGATGTTCGGACAAATTAAACCAAATGCAAATAAGTCAATTTCAGATGAAACACGAAGCGAAATTAATGTGCTACAAAATAAATACGACAAGATAAATGTTTCTGGTGCCGGGTAACAAGATAAACTGATGTGGCTGTGCTAATAAAAATACACGAGGACGAGGATGAGCACGAGTCCTGCGAGGCGTCCTTGTGAAGTGTGCGAAGAACGCTGCCGGCACGTTTAGCATTTCAAAAGGCGTATTGTTTATTCTCTTCCCCTTTTCCCAGTGTTTTCACATTCAATGTTATTTATCTCTGCTTTTTTTTCACACCGCCCTTCAAGCTACGATCCCTTCGCCTTTGTAACCCAAGTTCACTTTCGCAGTCCGCTTTTGTAGTTAACTTCTTTGTAGTTTCGTTTGCTTATTCATTTCCTCTTTCCCACGCACTCTCACACATGAAAAGTTATTTTTTCCTTTTCCCGCAACGAAAATGAAACGCATTTCACCCATCCGAGTGGGTGTCTCTGTGTGTGCCTGCGGAAAATAAGCGCAGAAAACTGGGAAACTGGAAAACTTGTCACGTGATAAACTCGGAAAGGAAAAGAATGTCACGTACTAAGAGAACGCAGCGACAACCTTTGCCACTTAAAGTTTTAAGTTCTCCGCACAGAAATATGTTTTAATTCCATAATCAGCTTGCACTTGGCCAAAAAACCCGAAATCAATTCCCCATTGTTTGGCGAGGTCCTTTTCCACCGAATAAAAATCCTAGTATACTTAACGGCTCCCCGAATGCTGGTCACGTAGATTCCTTCCCCTTCCCCAGCTTTATTTTTTTTTTGGGAAACTGAAGGACAGCTGTTTGGGTGCACTTAGCATTGCTACATAATTTCTGATGGCGTCATTTTAAGAATTATGAATGCCACGTGACTTTTGCTGGGCAAATAAAAGAAACCGGAAATCGGGCCACAGGACTTTTCTATGCTAAGTAAAGCCGGAATTAGAGCATTTAAGATTGTTCAACTGAAAAAAAAAAAGGGAGTCAGTGAAAGGTGAATAAAGGTGTAAAGAGTCTTTAGGAAATTGAAGAATTTTTAACGGAAATTAGAGATATTTTAGTTAAAAAAGAGGCAAGTATTCAAAGAACCCTCATTAATATTATTTCAGCGAGTGTTCTTTACCAATTTCCATCTGCGACTTAAAGTTCCTCTTGTCCGTATGCTGAATTTTAATTTATATCGTCTGGCAGCCGGACACCGCCGGAAAAACACCTCGGTGACCGGTCAAAGGTGTCACACATAAACCATTCAATCTGACAGTCAGTTGGGAGAATTTGCAGAATCAGAGACTGGGCTTTTGGAGGGGGATATATAGTGATATAGCGATAGACACAGACAACGACAATGACAATGACCATGCCCACCACTGTAGACCGCAGTCAAACTTTCGATTTCACTTCGTTAACGTGGCGAGTTGGACACGTATCCGCCCCGTTAGCCCACCTTGCCGTGCGCTGCAATTTATTTTTTTTTTTTTTCTGCACATTTGTCCAGACTTTTTCGCCTCGCTCCATATTCATTTCGGTGGTGCAAATTGCGCACGAAACATGCGAATTCGAGTGGTGAGTGTGAGTAGTGAGTGTGAGTAGTGAGTGTGAGTAGTGAGTGTGAGTAGTGAGTGTGAGTGGTGGTGAGTGCACAAAACCAATTTGTAATAAAGACGATGATGGCGAGGAAAGCGTAGAGAAAACGCAATGCTTTCATTCCATTGTCCATTGTTGTTTTACTCGGAATTCAGGGATAATAAGGGTATATGCCTGACAGTCCAAAGAGGGGTTTATTTTATAAAATATAAGAAAATCTCTTAAAGTCTTTGCTAATTTTTAAAACAAATAAAATAGTGAAGTATTTATATAAATCTTCATCAGGCAATAAGGCAGAAAGTTGCTTGAACAACTACTGTATTAATAATTATATTTTTCACCTAGCTACTTATTTAAACTATAATAATATTCCTGAGGTACCTCCTAGTCGAGAAGGATATCTCTTTTATAGTTGCTTGAGGAATAGATGTCGGGAATGGCTCACTCGGACGCCACGGCATTATGCGGCATCAAAAGATGTTGACACATCACGCAGTCGTCCTGGCATTTGAATGTTTTCAATTAACTTTATGTAGATAAATAGTAGCAACAACTGGCCCCCGTTGGTTGTCTCCACTGGCTGGGTCCTGCCGCGTCCTTAGTTGGCCTTAAAGGCGTAGCTGGCCAAAAGGGCGCAGCTAAAATGAAACATTGCAGGGCGCTAAATTACGCTGGCAGGGGTGGCGATAAAAGGGGGTAGCTTGGCGGAAATTGCATTATCAGCGTCAAAAGGCACACAGCACAGACAACAACAACAACCCCCCTTTTGGTGGCATGTTTTGCCGCCGGCTCTTTGCCGTTGCCACTTCCTGCACTTCCCGCCGAGACAATGAGTTGTGATAGCACAACTTTTCCAGCGGCGTCGCGCGTTACGCATAATTACCGTTACAGCGGGAGGGGGCGGGACGGACGCCCGCTCAAGACTGATGAGCAGTTTATGACTTGACGCTTTCGCAGTGCATTTAATACCGTTATTGTGGTGCATTTGTTGCCAACAGTTAATAACAATGCACTGGGAAAAAGGGGGTTTCTTTCGTGAAAATATTTTTAAAGTGATTGAAAACTTATGTAAGACTATTCCCTACCAGAATAAATATATTTAAAGTTTACTAAAACATTTTCTTAGATTAAATTTCTTTAAAGAAACAAAAATATTTCCTGCAAGTGTTCGTTGCAGCTGCTAAATGGATTACGTACGCTGGCCATTGTTCATTCCGTTTATATGAAATTTTAATGAATTGTAAAGCCAGGACATCTTGGAGCAGCACACATGGGGTGCCCGGTTACCGAGTGAGTCCCCCCCCCATGTTCGGCTCTCTATCAGCCAAACATTATCGCAGTCTCTACTTCAAGTTCAATAAAGTTGAGTGCCTGGCACAAATGGAAATTTTACGCATACCCATCGAGGCGAGAGCGGGAAAGTGCCCTTTAAAATCACTTTATTATGCCGGCATGTGGGGTATTTTTTTACCCCCGGACACATTTGTTCCGGGGGGAGGCGATGCGACAATTTATAAGAAAATTCCTATCGAACTCTCCGGCATCGCTGGGCCAATGTCTTTTGGGCCGATAAAAACGTACCCGGCACGCGCTTTAATCATGAAAAATCATATTGAAAGGCGCCGCTCCGCACATGTAGTGGGCGTGCCAGCCATTAAATGAATATTTCAACAAATTTGCTTTTACAAGCTCGGCTCGACAGGATATTTAAGAGCCGGCACAGGCACATCGCATCGCACACACAAAACAGCTGCACAATTTCCGTAGGAAACTTTTGCGCTGCAAAGTTTTTCTGGGCGACTTTTGACAAGACCAACAAGCGGGGAAAAAATCCTTGAAGGATGATTGCGTTTAAATACTCTAAAATCTATAAATTAGAGTGTATAATATAATATATAGATATAAGATAAGAAAAAGAGATAATTACATATTTAAGGCTCTGGTTCTTATATTTTTAAACCCTTTCTTTAGTAAAATCTAGAATTTTCCCTGGATTGTCCTATAATGTACCTTAAGTCCCTTCAAAACCCTCAACTCAGCCGCCATGCCCTGTGGGTTATACACTTCTCTGACAAGTTGAAAGTTCCCGCCGCATGCATTTCAATTGCTCCGCCGTTGCCGTCGACATTTACATGCCAAGTCATTGGCCAAAGTGTCCATCCCTCCCTCTCGACGGTGTCTTACATCTCTTTGACTCTAATAGATTTTAATCAGCCGCAGGACATGCGCCGGACGACAAGGACAACGAGAACGCCGACGACATGCTGTTATGGCCCCAAACCGCGCTTGGCGACAGTCGAAATTCCTTGCCCAGCATCCGATGAGAAGCGCCTCGAGCGGATCAGAGCTTGCCTTTAATTATGCCAGTTGTGGGAATCGGGGGAAATAAAGAAATGAAATCCCTATTTTTGAGGCATTTTTCTTTGTTTTTTCTTTGTTTTATTTGCCAGCGGGGTAAAGGGAAAGTGTGAGGTTGCTTTTGAGTGCCAGTTTAGCTTGCGTTTTTCCACACAATTTGCCGGCAGGACCTGGGGGCAGCAGAACACACCTCTAATGAGCCACTCCACCACATCCTTGAAAAAGCGCTGCATTTTCCAGCACTTTGACACGTTCACGTTTTTTTTTTCCTGGAAGGAGAGGGCGCCGCATACTTTTATTTGCGTAATTGGCCAAATGCTGAGTGATGTGACCAGCGACTTTATGGCGAAGCAAATTTAATACCCTTATCGGCATCGGATGTTACTTGCCATAAAATGACCCGCATTTTCAGCCATTCCGCTCTTCCTTCTGCCAATAAAAGTGTCGAGTGGAGTGCGTGTAATGAGCATCGGACTCCAGGACCCCAATCGAAAATGTCCTGCTCACTTTTCAGACTTCTCTGACTTCTGACCAACCCAACGGATGGCTGGGAAAAGTGTTTTAAAATGCAAAGCATCATTATTTGTGGGCATCGTTAAATTTCATTTAAAGCTGCGCAAAGAGGAGTCGCCAGATGACGATGACGATGACGACTTTCCACCCCGCAGCAAGGGTCACGGGTCCTGCGCTTATCTTGTCATTGTCATCTTTATTGGCTGCCATTATCGTCCTGCGGGTGTCCATAATTCCGCATGTAATTTGATTACCCACGCAGCCCGCAAATTGCCACGCCTGCCGATATCAACAACAACTTCATTGGCACTCTATGGCCTCTGTAGTAATGGGGGAAAAACTTTAAGGTTAAAGTGTGAGTAAAGGAAAAGTTTGCATTGTTTTTAAAGATTCTTAATTTGTGTTCCCAAACCTCTAAAGGAGCTGCAATATTTGAGATACATGTTGTTTTCGTTAGGTGATAACCCTAGTGATTCCTTTGGCAACCTGATACTTACTATTTTTTGAATCCATTGAATAACAAAACCTCAATTGCATATCTATAAAAGTAAACATTACGACCCATGCTGAATTTTATATTAGTACGGTTCGATATTTTGGAGTTCCTTCAGTCGCAGACAATATATGAAAGCCAAGAGAAAGGTCAGCACCTATTTTAAAATTATTTAAAATATTTCAAAGAATTTGCAAACAAAATAAAGTTAAAGAAAGCCCTACCGAAGCCACAAAGCTGGCCTGGAAACAAACATGGACAATTTTTTCATCGTCGGTTGTGCTACTATTCATAGAGGTAATCCAGATGAAAGACTTCACCAGCACGTAAGCTGCAATAACGAACAGCATCTGAAAAACTATCGGATTTTAGTTAATCGTCGCGTTATGCCTCTATCTGAACGCACCAGTTGTATACATATTACGTGTCTGTAAAGAGCTGCATAAAATCCAACGCACAGTCCAACGAAATACACAATGCCAACTATGAGATTCAAATAGAGTATGTTTTCTAGAGATTCCGGCTTGCACAAATGTACAATTATCTCCACTATTTCTGCCCCAGAAAAGATCTGTGGATCAAGGATCGGTAAAGTAAGAATGTATCGACACTTTTAATGTCCAACTCACTATAGCAATGGGTATAATAACCAGCGTGCAGATTTTGGACGCGAATGTTGGAAAAACGCACATCCTACTGATCGCCAGAAGCTATAAATACTCACATACATAGCTGGAATTATGAAAAATCCCAAAAACTTTTAATTTTCAATAAATCTAACTCTTGTCATGGCTTGCTTAAGTTATGTCAGACGATGAAAAGTATTCGAGAATCAATAGGGTCTGGTATGATGTATCATTACATGGTTTATAAATAAGTAACAACTCTTCCAACTTTAGCTAGTTACTTACAAGTGCTAAGCCGCAAGATGCTCAAGTGGAGGAGTCCTTGGAGCCCCTAGGATATGTGAACAACAAGGGCAACAAAACGACCACCACCAGCAATGCCAACCACAGTGTGGACAATTTCCAGTTGAAGGCACAAAAGCAGGGACACAGGGCCATCGTACCCCCTCATCCTGCAGGACCTTTGGGCCCTGTTTGTTGTCCATCGTCCCGTATCTTGTATCTGGTATCTGCCCTGGGTGTCCTGCGTCTCTGCTAAAATAATCGCCACAATAATCTGTCAACGACAGCTGCTGATGTCATAAAAACCTTTTGAAGATGTCGTTGCCGGAGTCCTTGTTAGGACACACAAACAGGAGTACACACACACACACACACAGGCTAATGATAATTTGCCACAATTTACACTCCGAGCAGCAGCAGCAACAGGACCTCCTCGTCCTGCTACCAAAATGGCTGTGATAAAATCATTGATGAAGCCAAAAGCTAATTGAATGTTAATCGCTTGCCATTGACATTGCACGTGGCGGGAAAAGGCAGGTCGGGGTGGAAAATTCCCTGGAAAACCCATCCGAAAATGGGCAAAAAGAGGGATAGAAAACTCTGAAGCAACCCCTCTCCAGACTTTGATCCGATAAAGCTCAAAGGTAAGCGGTCAATTTGCATAAAGTAATGATAAATCAACAGCCAAAAACGACCTTCAAGATGCGTTATTTGCACTTGGTTGTTTTGCAGCGAACGAAGCAAATAGAATACAAACAGTCTTTAAATTAAAAATTAAATTTTAATCAACTCGGGGATGCGTATCAGTGGGGTGGAAAATCCAAGAAAAGCTTTGGGCAGTGGGGAGTCTTTTCTTCCATTTTTTGTCTGCTTCTATGACATATCGCGATGGCAAGTCTGGCTTCTTTTCTTCTACTTCAGGATGAGTTGGTCTGGCATTTGGATTCTGGCATTAGCTTTAAGGGTATTCAAAGAAAGTGGTTGGCATATAAATTTAGGAAAATGTATATTTATAATTTAAAGATTTTTACTTTATTAAAGACTGTTGAACTACAAGGATTTTGTAAAGAAATTAAGAGCACTTGCACTAGTAAGGACTGAATAGTTTAAGTGATAATTTTAGTCGATATTATCTGTATATAATCTAGAAAAGTTAAAGTCCTTAAGTTAAGTCCTTAAAACACTCAAAAACAAAGCAACATTTTGGCCTTAAAACCAAAAACATATAAATATACTGACCTATTAAATGAAATGCAGAATTGTTATCCTTTTATTTTTTTGTAAAAAAAAATCAAGAAGGCTATAAACACATGGCTAACGTTCACACTCTTCAGAATGAAACATGGAAAACAGTTGGTCGATAACTAGGATGCAAATTTGCATTTTCTGCAACCGAAAATGTTTCAATTGCATTTCGTTCAACGGGCTACTGCCCCTGACAGCAGTCACATTAAATGCAGGAACCGAATCCAAACAGTATCCACGGAACGGCCCTTTTGTGGTTCCGTGGAGTCTAAGTTGCAATAGAAATACTGGACCAAAGGCAACATCAAATGCAAATGCAAACAGACAGCAACGGTCACAACAGCCGCAGCAGATGCATCAATTGTCTAATTGTTTGCCGAGACAGAGTCGTCATAATGTCCATCAAATAGTGGGGAAGGGGCCAGGAAACAGAATGTCCTTGTTGTAGGTACACTGGGAAGTAAATATAATAGAATTTGGATCTTCAAATGAAAAATTAGATGCTTTCTTGAAAAATATTATATTTAAATTTGTTTTTAAATTTGAACTCAGTTTATATTTTTGAAATGGTTATAAGATAATGAAATATATTTAACCAAAATAGATATAGAATTTTAAACAACATTATAAAATATGTATAGATTGTATAAACACATCCCAACACTTTTTTGATCAGTGCATCTATAGAAAACAGTGTCTGTGACGGCGTCTGGAGTGTCATAGCCGGGTTGGACCCGTGGGATAGGTAAATTTGATTTATGACCTATTATGCGTCTTATGTCCAGCCATAATTTAATTATACGAGGACACACGCCCAGACGGAATACCAAACCCATATTGTCTGCAGTTTTTCAGCCACATGCACAATCTGCCGCACATAATGCTCTTATTTAAATCATGGAAATTCGCTTACCTAAATTGCATTGCAACAATTGCCAGGACGACCCCATGGTCCTTTTTGTCTGTACTGTCCAGTGTGTTTCGTTTTATGGCAAAAACTGAAAGCGACAATCTCAAGCCGAAATGTAAATGTAATTAAAGTGCAGTTAGGCAGTACGGGGGGATTGTGCGTGGCATGCGAAATGAAATTGAAATAAATTATTGACTAATTGTCAACTCAGACGAGGACAATCTGGCACATTTTGGCATGTGGCACGGGGCGTATGAGCAATCAAATAGCGAATAACAAGTCGCAAATCGAAGCCAAAGCCAAGAACAACAAATGCAGCTAATTTGAGAAGCTAAAAATTCCAAGACGGGTAGACCTCATACCCCTGCCTCTTAGACACGTTTTCATTTAATTTAATTGTTATTGTCTGGCCTGTCACTTTGGTCTGGAGGGAATGGAGCGGCTCCATTGCATGTCTAATTAGTGTCATCTTAAAAATGCCATCGAATTTCAATTGCCACTTGGCTCGGAGTGCTTTAATCTTTAATCTAGGAGTGCATATAACTTAATTTAGCCATTTCGATTTAAGTTAGAGCCACTTGAAGATTGTTTTGGCTTTTGGTTAGTAAGGGAAGTAAATGGTCAATTGAAATAGGTTTAAATATGCTTAGGGGCAAAGTGAATATGTCTTCAATATAACAAGAAATAATAGATATTTTAAGTTAGTTTCTCTGCTGTTTGATTGCATTTTAGTGAACATTAGGTAAATTAGAAGACATTACTTGCTTAATTGCTTACAAACAAAGATACATTTTGTAATTTATCTATATGTTTTAAATATTATAAGACCTCTAATGTAACCTATAGAAATTCAAATGCAATAAACAATTAATATATATTTTTTATTATTACCCCACTCCCCACAGTTTTATTGCGCAACCCGAATGTCGCTCGAGTAATCCCGCCGAAATATCACTGTCAAAACACACATTCGATCTGTTGATCCGCCTCCCCTTTTTGGCCGCCTGTCAGTGGATTCGATTGAACCCATTGAGCCCTCGCTGCGGTGCCATTAATGTACAGTGTGTACACAGAAATATATCCATAACCATTAACCATTAACCATTGCCCACATGAGCACGGCCGAATGTCAAGATTAAGCTTCGGGGGGCAGTTATGCGGCTATGCGCGCATAAATATCCGTTAATTAACTGACAATAATTATAACAAGTGCAAAAGTGCGGAGGGGAAAGGCGTGCGAAAATATTAAATCCAATTAAAGAGCCATAAAACACGGCCTGCCACGCCCCCGCAAAGCCGCTTTGCGAGCAGAGAGACCCCAGCGAAGGCCGCTCCGCAATGATTTGGCCAAAAACCAGTTACCCATTATCGTGGCCCATTGTTCGCCGGAAGGCCTCCGGTGCTCGGCCTCTGCTCAGTTCATGTTCAATTTGCAACAATCGATCTCTGTCTTTATTAACCGCCAAACATTAACAAGAAGCTATAACAAAGAAGCGATTTTAGAAACCCCAGTGGGTTCCGAATCCGTCGAAGCTCATGTGCGACACGCTCTCGGCGGGCGAGTAGTGGACCGTCTGGGAGGTGCCATAGCTGGACACGCCCAGGGCGGGAGCGTTATGGGTGTAGGTGGTGGCGGCCGGTCCATGGTTCACATTGGTGGTGGCCAGGGGAGCGGCATACGACACGGTCTTGGCCAGAACGGGAGCAGGAGCAGCATAGACTGGGGCAGGAGCAGAGTACACAGCCTTGGTGACCACTGGAACGGGAGCAGAGTACACGGTCTTGGCAAGCACTGGAGCAGGAGCAGCGTAAACTGGAGCAGGAGCGGAGTACACAGTCTTGGCCAGAACTGGGGCAGGAGCAGAGTAGACAGTCTTGGCCAGAACTGGGGCAGGAGCAGAGTAGACAGTCTTGGCCACCACAGGAGCGGGAGCAGCATACACAGTCTTGGCCAAAACCGGAGCAGGAGCAGAGTACACAGCCTTGGCTACCACGGGAGCATGAGCAGCGTAAACTGGAGCAGGAGCAGCGTAGACAGTCTTCTCAACAACCGGAGCCGGAGCATTGACCAGGGTCTTGGCCACAATGGGAGTGGCCTGAGTGTACAGCGGCGCGGCATAAGTGGTCTTGGCAATGGCCGGAGTATAGACATTGTTCTGGATCCTGGTGTCGCTCTTTCGCACACTCGAGTACGGCGTGTCCACCGCCTTGGAGTAGCTGGAAACGGTGCCGGCAAAGGACCTCACCACATCCTGCTGAGTGGAGGCAACGGCATCCACCGAGGGATTGGCAATGGCCACATGGCTGGCCAGGAGACCGGCGTTGGCACAGGCCAGCAGGGCGCACAGAGGGATGAGGTAGCGGAAGGCCATAGTGGAGCACTCGAACTGGATGACTGGCTAACAGTGGAGTGGAAGAGTGAAGCTAAAGGCAGACTGCTGGCTGGGCTGCGACTGATGCTGATTTGGCCAAAATGTGCCGGCTTTTATACGCATCGGACGCGTGCCAGTTATGGGCAGACTTTGCTGATTTTTGCTGATTTGTTGTCTATTTTTTGTCGATTTTTTTGGTAATTGAACTGCCCACAATGCGATGGCAGTTTGGTTCACCTGCGCAACCGCTTGAAAGCCAATTTGCTGGCATAAATTACGCTCGGTAATTAGGTTTTCGGCGGAGGGCAAAGGCTTCAGGGCCCCTGGTGTAAAATTAATAACAATTTGCAAAAAAATCGCAACAACAAAAAAGTAGAGCAGAACTCGTGGCTGTAAGAAGCTTCCCAAGTTGGCAACACAATTCAATTTGGAGCAGCGTCAACTTTGGTAATTTCAATAAATATTCATCATGCGCCCCGTGAGCAGCCGAGCAGGGAAATTCATTTTCCCATCTTGCCCCCGAAAACAACAAGAGAAAACTCAACGGGAGTGGAAAGTCAGCCAAGTGCAAAACAAGACGAAACATTAGATGCTCTCTTCTTAATTTACTGCCAAAGTTTTTTTTTTGGGTGTAACCCCAAGCAAATATTTATGTTGGTGTCAATGTGTTAAGTGATGGCTACGAAGGTGGAGGTTAAATGGGGATTATCGGGTGTTTTTCTTATACAAATGACTGTCATAAAAATATAAAATTAAGTAGAGCTAATGCCAGTAATTGCTTTATTATTTTTATCTTGAAGAAAACAATGGAAATCAAGTTATAAATATACTTTTAAAAATTAATCTAAAATTAATCTTTCAATAATAATATTTATATTCTAAACACATCTTGAATTTCTTTACTTTCTGACTTCTGATCATCATTAATTCCAGCTTCAGATCTCCCTTCTCACAGGGAACAACAACTTTTCAAGAATAAAGGCAAACAAAAATCATAAACAACTGACTGCCACCACCTCAAGGAAAGAAAGAAAAACCACCGACACCCCTGCTGATACAAACAAAAAAGTTGACAGAAACAGAGAACATCCCCTTATCGAGGGGTTCTTCCTGTATTTTTTTTGGGGGATGGGCCATATTTGCTGCTTGAGTAGAACTCAATTTAATGGAAAAATACGCAGGGCAAATAAAAGTTTTTCTTCGCTGCTCTGGAAAATTTATGAGCTGCTGATAGTATTCAAAATAATTCACTTTCCTGCGATACACTGGGTGTGGGGCACTTGAGAGGCGGCGGCCTCCAGTCGTCGAGACGCGGATGGAGATGGAAAAGAGCCCAGTCACTGGGCGACCCAATGAACCAGTTTTGGGGCTTAGGCCTAAGTCAATCTGTCACACATATACACGCACTCAAGTCTCGCCCTGTTGGCCGTGAAATTTGGCAAGACATATTTCTGATTTTTGGCTATAAAAACTGTGAACTCGAAAGAGTTAGGCATCAGTAGCCACTGCAGCTTACTACCAACATCAGTTTCAGTTTTAGTTTCGTTTTCTTCCTTTGGAATTAAAAAAAAAAATCCTATAAAATGGCTTTCAAGTACGTCCTGCTGTCCCTCTGCGCTTTGGTGAGCCTGGCCAGTGCCGGTTTCCTGGCTCCAGCTGCCACCTACTCTGCCGCCATTCCCGTGGTGGCCAAGGTGGCTCAGCCGCACTTTGATGCCGTTGGTACCACCCAGCAAAATGTGGTGCGCTCCTTCGGCGGCACTGTGTCCACATACTCAAAGAATGTGGTCACCCCGTACTCCAGTGTTAGCAAGGTGGACTCCCGCATCACCAACAACGTGTACACGCCCAAGACTGTGTACTCCGCCCCCGCTCCCGTGATCACCAAGTCCTTCTATGCCGCTGCACCAGCTCCAGTGGTGGCCAAGACTGTTTATGCTGCCCCAGCTCCAGTGGTGGCCAAGACCGTCTACTCTGCTCCTGCTCCAGTGTACGCTGCTCCTGCTCCGGTTTTGGCCAAGACCGTGTACTCTGCCCCCGCTCCAGTGGTTACCAAGGCTGTGTACTCCGCTCCTGCCCCAGTTTATGCTGCTCCCGCTCCAGTGTACTCCGCACCCGTGGTTGCCGCTGCTCCTGCTGCCTTCGTGAAGTACTCTCCCGCCGCCGTGGTGGCTCACGCCAGCTTCGATGGATTCGGATCCCACTGGGGATACTAAAGGGTGTAACATCCCGAGCTTTGTTGACACTTTGTTGATTTGTCCGTACGAATTAAAGACAGTTGCATGAAACACGAACTTGCTCTTTGGCTAATTATTATTTGCTGTAATTAAAAGTGTGGGTTTGGGGTTGAAATGATAATATGCAGCTAGTGGGAGTCATTCGTGTTACGCTAATTGCATTTTCAGGGTTCCAAAGAAAAGTATAAATATAATGGAATATTTAAACCACAATTCTAGGAAGACAGTTTTAATGTTCGCAAGATAGCTAAAGTTGATAATGTCGGTCTCTGAAAAACGAAAGCAGTAATCTAAAACTTTTAGATATATATAATATATTTTTATATTAATGAACTATCATACATTGTATATATTATCCTTAAACAGCTGATAATCTTTGATAGCATTCCCATAAGTAATCACCTACAAAAGGCGATTACAATTTAAAGTAACACTTTCACCACTTTACCCTTCTCATTTCCATTTGTCTAGCGTTTAATGGGGCGTACACACATATGTGTGCCAAGGAAATTTCATGCCCAGTCCGACTTTCGAAATCCCTAGAAATCCTGGCCGCTCTCTACTCCTTTTTTTTTGTGTGAGGGCGCAAATATTTAGTGGAAAACTTTCTGTTTGTCTTTGTCGGTGGGGTGCTACAAAAAAAAAATTGTTGGCCAAAGTTTAATGAGCCACATGACCCTTTGGTCGCTGCCTTTCTATCTCCATAAACTTTGCGATGGGTTCTCAGCAGCTTGACCAAACTGCGGTTGTTGTTGTTCTTGTAGTTGTCGTTATGGCGGCTAAAAAGTTGGCACAACAACACCCACACCCACACCGAGCACATAAAAAAAGCATTAACGATGTGGGCCAAAGCAAACTATTTAGCCATAAAGTTGGTCCTTCCGTCGGACAATTTTGTATGCATATTTTATGGATTTTCAAATGCTGCAAAATTGTTTTCCACGACCAGAATTTAATGTTGACAACAATAAAATTTACGGGGCGGCACGGAGCACATAAAACGAGGAGGAGGAGACCAAACTCGAGCTGGGGTGATGGCGTGATGTCCTTGAATATTTTCTGCTTAGCTGCATTTGCATATTGTTGCGATTGTCGAGGGCTCCGTGTCCGGATTGGGGTCCGATTTCGTTTCGATGTCCGTGTCCCTGTCCAATGTCCTGGCATTTGCAATACTTTTTCAATCACCGGACATGCTTTGGTGATTCCTTTATTGGCTCATCCATATGCATGCCAACTCGGGATCCCGGACATTGGATGCGGGACTCAAGTGTTTATCGTTATTGATTGCAGTCCGTGAAATATGACGAGAGCCCAGCGTCCAGGCTAGCATCCAATTTGTCTGTCGTCTTGCCAAACTCAAAGCCAATACCCATTCCCACTGGGTGAACATCGAATCCGGATTTCAATCTGCTGCTTGAGCTGCTTGGAAAATGTTAAGGCTTACCCCACGAATCCTTGGAGGGCTTCAATACCGAGCTTCAAGTCGAATAATCGGATGCAGTATACTCCAGCGGCGCTTTGGGGTCTTACTTCGCTTCAGGTAAATCATGAATATGAAGAGGGCCAAGAACATGATGAACTGAGAATGCACTGGGTGTTACACTATCTCAGGGATCTTTGGCACCTTACCTTGGCAACGAGGCTGATAATCACACATACGGACATCGGTATGGGTTGTACGGTTACTGTTGAGCAGCCTTTGGTGTAGAGATCCTCGTTTTTGCCACTGCCATCCTTATAGCAGGAGTCGGGCGGTGAGAAGCCAATCACATTGTAATCGCCAGGACCCAGGACACCGCAGCACTGATACTGGAAAAAAATCAATCGTTTTAATATAAGATAATATTAAATTCAGACTACATTAACCTACATTAACTTCAAAGAAATTCAGATTTTTATCGTAATTCCACATTAGCATAACGTCGCCAATGGCTTGATACTCCTGTTGCAACACCAAAGCCAACATAAACTCCAGAAAGATGAACAGGAAGAGGATAGTCACATACTAAAGAATACGATTTAAGGATACGTGAATATAATTAATGATCTAGTCTTGGCTACCCTGAATCCCTAAGAAATATTACTTACAATTCGAATTCCACGGGCCATTCGATAGAGCACCAATGGAAAAGTCATAAACAGTATCACCAACGTCAGGCACTCAACGCCCAATGTGATCATCATGTAGGATGCAAAAAAGCACTGCCTGCAGCCCCTGTGCACATTCAAGACCATGTAATAAGTGCGAATGTTCCAGGCGGTTAAGCCCTGTGGGAAAACATCTTAAAGCTTCTTTTATAAACAGAGCGTATCTATATCTTACGATATTCAGCAGCCACAAAGCGTAAATCACAATAGAACCGATTAGCAGAATGCGTTTGGCGCGCTTGGTCAGGAGAGGATCCACCACAACAGCCTCTGACTGTCTAGTCGCCATAATTAGTAGATATTGTGAGGCTGTGATATAATATAAAATATATTTCTAAAGGTGGAATGAAACTTTAAACTAAGCCATCCTTTCGTGGGAAACAAGCTTATAAAAAAGTTAGTATTTCATTTTACTAAATTTTATTTTAAAAAGAAATACATTGCTTTCTTGTAAAGCTTTAAATGCAAAGTAACTTTTAAAGTCTTAAATCTTTCCTTGTTTGTTTTTCTTATTTAAAAATGAAGCAACTTATACTTAAAGAGATCTCCTAACATTTACATAGATTTATTCAGCATCGCAGCTTCGTAGGGTTTGATGACCGCGGTCTCCGGAGGAGGGAAGTATGTTAAACTAGAACTAAACCCACACATACGTTCTGCCATGGAATTTTTTAATCAAACAGTTGCCATTAATTACTGCAAAATTCTGTAGCCACATAACAGACATTTTTTCGACAGCCATCCGGCGGCTGGAATGAATGAAAAGAAAACAGGATGCGGCGAGTAAAGCGCTGCCAAGTCCTGGGTCCTGTGGGCGTCTGTCCGTGAGATGCTATCCGTGAGATGGTATATCCGGGATTTGTATTTGAATCTGAGCGGGTAGCAGGAGCAGAAGCACAAGCAGGAAGCAAGGAATGCCTGGCGTACCAACCGCAGACGCCACCAAAAGAAGCAGCAACTAAAAATCAAATTAGGTGCAAACGAACGCCCGTCAGCACCAGGACTTGCAAATAATACATAAAAAAAAAAAAAACTAAAAAAAGGGGCGTGTCGTGGTTGCGTTTTTGTAATGAATAATTTATAATACACGCCACTGATGGTTTTTATTCCAGCGAGCTCTTAGCTGGGATTAAAATTTTGTGGCTTTCCGGCTTGCCAGCTTGGCCGAATTAAAGTTCACGTTCGGAGTGTTTGGGATGGGGGTTCCTTGGCCGGCTGATAAATGTGCGTGTGCTGGTGTCAAGTGCACGCTCGTGAATTCAATTTGATACACAAACTGATTTATCGACTCACAGCAATGGCAGTGGCAGTATATAGCATACACTGGAATTAAAAGGTTAGGAAATGTTCTAAGGAAAAACTGTATTTTAAAAGGAAAAAAGAATGGTACTTAATAAACTATTTAAGTTTCATTGAAAAAGTAATTTATTAAATTTATTAAATATATATATATATGAACTTAAGCAATTAAATGATAACTTCAACACCCAAACTCTAATGCAAAAGCTTTATTTAATTTTCAATTTATAGAGTTTACATTATAGAGGTACATAATATCTCATGTTTTCCCTAAGTATTTAATATTTAATTTTAATTTCAACCTTTAAGTCTTGAATAGTATTAAAAAGAAAATAGTTTCTAGTGCACACATTGTCTCAACTCGACTGGCACACGCCATTCATAAGTCAGTCGTCGTCGTCGTCCGTGGAAAGGAAGCGAGGACGATAAAAAATTACATACACTTGTAACTGGTGTGTCCTCGGGCTTTCCTCTGATTCTTGTGCTCCGCTTCTCGGTTCTCCTGATTCTGGAGCGGAGTTATGTCTGGGTCTTCCACTTTGCCTCTCTAACAAGGTTAATTTGTAGCGATCGCAGTTCTCTGTCATTTATCTTCGCTGTCAGCGGCAAGTCCTTCGCACAGGAAGCCTGTCCTGGCATCGTTCTAATTTGAATTTAACAAGCAAGGATGCTGGGAGGTGGTCCATCAGACCATCATAGTCTATTGGCAAGCATTGAAAATTAAAAATTTATTGCCGGCGTGGTGTCAATCATCGCCATCATGATTCTTTGTTCAGAAAGTAATAAAGTAACAGCTATAGAAGAGGGGTTGTAAATAAATCTTAGTGATGTTAAAGATTTATGAAATGCTCTATAAAAAATTTAAAATATAATGTTTAGATATTGAAAGCGTATTGTATAAATTTAAATATATTAAAAATATTTCCCAGGCTTTTTTAATCAAAATATGCTGAATAAAAATTATTACTGAAATTAATTAATATCATTTCTGAAATCTAAATAATTATTTTCTTAGATATTTAGAATATTTAATAATTATATCCTAAGAATCCTTCTAAACTCCTTATATCCAAATAAAAAAAATCCCGCCCAGTATCCTGTCGCACAGTTGCAGGCACACACACTACATCATCATCAATTTGTGCTTGTGAGTTTCTGGAGCACCCTCTGACCCCCATTCCCTCTCTTGAGAGCCCATCCATCCTGTCCCATATCCCTTCTCCACCGGCACTCCACACTATTCCATTGAACGTTTCAATTTCACTTGTTGGCTTCGATTGTCGCCTGAAGTGCGGAGTTGGGGGAACAATTGAAAGCGACACTTTTATGGTTTTCAGATTTGTGTGATACTTCCTCTTTGCTACCGCAGTGTGTTCCACTTTTTTTGTCTCATTTTTGATTCCATGTTAACACTTTTTTCCTCTGGCTTTTGTATCGTGCTTTATTACTTTCCAGCTTTGTGTGTATTCTAATTGAGAAATTCCAAGGGAATTTGCCCTAAGAGGCTTTTACGCCTTTAAGTGCTAGAGCTAAACTCTTAATTCCACAGCATTGCACAATAGTTTCTATAATTTTATTTGGATCTATGCTCGAGAGGGGTTCTTATTTCTGGCAAATAAAATTTTGTTGCATATTTTGCGGCGTCAAATGGCAGCCACAAAAATGAATGAAATCGTAAAATTCTGCCGGACCATGCCGGACCGCCGCATCCACGCCCAGTGAGCTAATAACGTGCACTCGAAAACCGGATGCCCCGCAGACCAGGGCCGCACAAAAGCTGATCTGCGTCCCTTAACCCACAGGATGACCTGCTCCGGACCTTCCCAACCGTTTATTTCATGATTTTATAAACTGAGAAAAACTTGGAACTATGACTTAAATTTTAAAATAAGTTTTAAACTATTTTTCTTGATAAAATTCTTAAATTCTTTTAACAGATTATATTTATTAGCTTATAAAAATATAATTTCTTTAATCTTTATATATTATACAAAAATATTTCAAAGTATATACCATTTTACAGATATTTTTTCCTCCTGTGCAGGACTATCCAAATATTAATAAGTGTGAGTGTGTGTGCTGCTGGGGCTGTGTTGGCATTGGCATTTAAGTGCCGAAACAAGTTTTTCGGAAAATGGAAAAGAGTCTGGGGCCAGGACGTCTGACATAACCTCAATTTGTATGCGTTCTTTCTTTCCTTTCTCTTCCTTTGTTTGTCTATTTGTTTGCCTTTTGTCTCTCTATCTCTTTCGTCTGGGAATTGCAATTGCATTGCCGCCCTTTTCCCACCCCCGCCAGCCCTCATGCCCTCCCTGTCCCGCATCCACGCTGTGTAAATATTTGATTTTTGCATTAAAGTCAATTTGCTTTCATGATTCCGTAATTCATTGTTTACTCACGCCAACTTCTATTACGCCTTCTGCCGCCCGCTTTGATTGTTTATTTTTATATCCCCCTCGAAGAGAGGGAGTCCTGGAGTTCCGGAATCCCGCATTTCCGCTGCACTTCCACATGCCCACAGATACCGACACCGACACCAGGACAGACCAACCCAGACCGGGCTCAGCGATATCCGCATCATCTTTGTTTGTCGCTCCCAGCAAGGTTTTCCTCCGCCGCCTTTTGTCTGCTTGCTCTTTCTCCCCGAATTTTCCGCCCGGAAAATCCCTTGCCACAATCCCGGCTGTTTTAATATGCGCACTCAACGTTAGAAATTAAATCTGGCTCTCAAATGTTATTTGCGCTTTTCGTTTATTTATTTATTTATTATTTGCTTACGCGGCTGCCAAGTCCTGGCAGCAGTAGTAGTCTGCTTTCCCGGTCCTGACTGTGTGTGTCCTGGCCCAGTTTTCATTAGGTAATGCATAATAAGCTCGAGAACTTGTGCGAGTGAATTTAATTTATATTATTTTCTTTGTCTGTATGCCGCCAGTTGGGTGCTGCAATTTCGGGGCTCTGGTCCCTGGAAAAAGCAATTATAAAACTGGGTATGGAATATGAAGAGTGAGAGATTCGGTTTTTATTGTTTTGGGGCTACAGAGAAAGGGGGAAATTATAGTTTACGACTGACAATAGTTGGATTATGTAGATATTGTGTGTGCATATTTATGCAAGGAATATTTTAAAATAAATATTATTGGTTTAATATCTAATAAAATATTTTAAAAATAAATTTTGATCATCTGCAAATATTCATTTGAATTTTAAAATGAAAAAATACCTATGTAATATCTATGAAAAATTTATAAATAATATATATAGGGTTCAATAGTTTTAGTATAATATATTTTAGGTAAAAAACTATAAATTTTTAATCAATAAATATTAAGACACCATGTTTTTAGTTCAAATAAGTCCATCTTCTGTAAATATTCCCTTTTCTTTTTATTTTGATTATATTAACAGTATCCTTAGCTTTAAGGATCTATATTTCCCTAAAGCAAAAAGTAAACTACAACAGGTTGCCAGCACATATGCCGTGATTACTATTTCAACCCACCAACCAACCAACACTTACCATCACCGCTTTTATGTTTACTGCTTGGCACTCCAGCATCGGATTAACCTCCGCCATCAACCACAGGGAGAATCCTGCAGCGTCAAATCAATACGACGCACCAATATCCATCAATATCCCTCAGCCATCCGGAATCAGCCATCGACTGAGGCACCATTATTATAAGAGGCGCGTCGCTTGCAATTTTAACGAGCTTACGCATTTTATCGCCGGATCCGGACTCCTTACTCCGGAGGAGATGCTGTCATCGCCTCATCATCAAGCGGACGATGTGACTGCAGTAAAAAAGAATCTAATTTAGTGCGCGGTTTGCATACAAATTCCTATCACAGGACTCGCGCGAATCCTGCGTGACAATGAGGCTATATATGGCTCTGTGTGTGTGACTGAACGAGGGTGTTAATTCGCAATTGGTGTCACGATATACATTGATTTGCCATTTGGCTTATGCATTTTTCATTAATTGTCTTGCCTTGTGTCTTGTCGCAGTAAATTTGCGAGCAATTTAATCAAAAATTCTAATTCCAATCCGAGAAAGTTGAGCACAAGTTTTT